TAGATAGCTTTGGGAAGTATTGCCATTTTCACAATGTTAATCTTTCCAATTGAGGGAAGCTCCCATTTTTTATGTACCAGTACTGAGGCTTAAACTCAGGACCTGAGTGTGTTTCTTAGAAATTTCCATTTTGCATATCTTTGTCTTACCTATGTGTGTATGTGTGTGTGTGCACACGCTGGCACACACACGCTTGTGCATGCATGACAGTGCTGGGGCTTGAACTCAAGACCTGGGCACCATCACTGAACTGCTTTGAATTGCTTTGCTCAAGGTTGGTGCTCTACCACTTGTGCCATAGCTCCTCTTCTGGTGCTTTGCAGTTAATCAGAGATAAGAGTCTTGAAAACTTTCCTGCCCGGGCTGGCTTCCAACCATGATCCTCGGATCTCAACCTTCTGAATAGCTAGGATTCCAGCACCCAGCCTTATCTATTATTTTTAATGTTCCACATCTGAAGACATACATCTCAGAAAATAACTTAGCAAGAGATCTTATGTTAGAAGGCCCTGACTACATGCAGTGTGAGTTTGTAGATACCAAATCAAAATCATAAGCTGTTTATTATGCATATTTGATTTAACAAAAGCATTGATATTATGCCAGTACTGAAAATCTGATATGTAAAAAATTCTGAGGATGCAAGGGCGGGGGGGGGGGGGAATTGGGTGGGGGGACGGGGTGAGGCTGGGAATGGATGGGAAGGGTAAACAAAGGGGGAGTCTGCAATGCTTGATAAGAAATGTACTCATTATCTTGCCCATGTAATTGTAACCCCTCTGTACAGTATGTTCACAAAAAATAAAAATAAAAAAAAATTCTGAGGAATGCATTCTGATTTCCTATACAGATGTACACTCTCACCTACGTGTAGAGATTGGATCTGTGGGTCCAAATGAAGTCATCAGATTGATTGTTAAAGTTTCAAATTAACACTACCAAATTTTCCCATTTCAGTGACTATAATAGAAATGCTGTGGTCTGTGGGCACTAACAATGGCTCAGTCACTCAGACACACAGCCTTTGCAGCAGGAACCAAATTTACACTTAGAGTGTACTTAAACATCGACTGCTCTTGTCCTTCTCAATCGTTTTCATTGGTGTAAGAATTGGTACAAGAATTTCTTAAAGGAAGAAGAGATCACACAGTTCTTCATGATGAGTATATTCAAACTAAAGTTGACAATGTTTGTCATAGTTTTAAGGTCATATTTAAAATTGAGGACTAGCAGATAAAGAAAGAGAAATGTGGAACTTTCAGCATCTGTAAACCCAAGACATACTCAAGTGTCTCCAGGAATTAGTTTGCCCTCAGGTAGCCCTGTAGCAAGAGAAGGGATAGTAGGAGAAAAAGAAAGGAAGGGGTAGCAATGCTTGACAAGGAGTATACCCATTACCTTACTGATGTAACTGTAACCTCTCTGTACTGCATCTTTACAAGAAAATAAAATTTTTAAAAAAGAACCTACTCCCAGAGCCCAACAAACAGTTTACACAAGAACTACTTGGGCAAGATTCCTTCTCCAAGTCACAGGGTTTCTATCTATAAATTGGAAACGATAATATTTGCCTCACAGTGTGTTATTTCAAATTCAAAAATCATTTGGCAGAAAGTATATCATGAATGGCCAGACATAACCACAATGGCTCATGTCTCCAATCCTAACTCTCAGGAAGCTGAGATCCGAGGATAACAATGAATCCAGCCTAGGCAGAAGAATGTATCAGACTACCATTTCCAACTAACCAGAAAATGGACATGTACCTGAACTGGCAGAGAAGCAATAATTTTGAGTTAAAAAGCTAAAAGACAGTGCCCAGACCTTGAGTCTAAGCCCCAATGCCAGCACACACACACACACACACACACACACACACACACACACACACACAAAACATGAACATTATTGCCTTTTTCCCTGTCTGTCTTTCTTACACAAGGATAACTAATGCTAGAACATTTCACATTTTAAAAAATGTTATTTATACATTTTTTTACATTTGATGGTTTTTATTTCTTCTCATAAATATTGATAAAAAAAGGCTAACTAGCCGCAATTTACAGGTCAAATATTTTCATATTGCTAAGTATTCTCAGATCTTACTAGAAAACTTGGTGTGGAAAGTAGAGACAAGCCGTTCTTTGACAAAGTAAAATATTCCAATATTGTGATAGTGTAGTACAGTTGTAAACATATTTTCACTGTAAGGGTCCAGCTGATACTAAGCAAAAGGAAATAAATATACGTATCACCCAATTTGTAAGAAATAGTTTTATTGTTGGAATTCATAGAATTCATAAGCTTTGTAGATTAAGATAATGATGATTATCATTATGGAAAAAATAAAAATAAAAAATACTGTAAGATAAGTAAAAAATATTACAAAGGCTATAAAGAATAGCCCACTTGGAGAAACACATGGGGTAATGAATAAAAAAAGAATGATCTATTCTTGAAAGAACCTGAGACATTAGGAGAATAAACACTCCTACTTTCAAATTGTGTCATAAAATAAGCTATAAGGGAGACAAATGAAGGTTCTAGAGGGGCTGACAATATTAACAGCTCTTAAAGTAATTATTACTAAGAAAGCCAACAAAACCACAAATTCATCCTATATTCATGCCGTATTAGTGGTTTGGTTTTTGGTTAGGAAATGGTAGAGATCCTCAATTTGTATATAAAAATGTAACTTGAACTTATATAACTTGTCTGACAAATGAAGAAAATGATTAGGAGTGCAGTCCTAAACAAGATATACTAGGTCCGTTAGATTAGCTAACCACAAAAAAAGTTCAAGATCCAATAGCTTCCTGATCTACTTTAATACCTTGTTGATTCTGCTCACTCTCTGACTACTTTCTTTCCAATTGTATCTTCTAGCTGCCTTTGTGTTTCACAGGGTAATTTTAACTGTCCCTTAAAAATTCTGGTCCTTACAAACCAACTGTCATTAAAATAGGAACATCAATAATAATGCTTATAAGCATGTTTATACCACCTACGGTAGCACACAGATGCTTGGCATTGTGGCCAACATTTGGTTTGCAATTAATCTGAGGCTTATTTTTATATCTGGAGAGCGATAGAGAGACAGAGAAAAATAGAGGCAGAGACAGACAGAAGAAAAAGATAAAGGAGATAAACAAACTACAAGTGTGATTTTTTTGTCTATCCTAGTTATTTGTGCTGTTTCTGATTGCAGCTAGCATGAAACCTAAACTTCTTTTCCTTTGGCTAAACACACACGCTCTCTCTGGTCCTACCTCAAATGCCAGGTTTCTGAGATCTTCATAATAAACTAATCATTGCTCAATTGTGTCCGTTGGAACTGTGCGTACCATGTCCCAGCCATCCTGAAACTGCCTGTGTAATGAGTCAGCACTTTGATCCCTTTCCAATGACTATATTTGCTGATTATCAGGACAGGTTGTTTGGCCCTATGTGCACACTTTCCCCAGGGAGTTGTGTACTTCATCTCTGTTATGACAGTCTATCCTAAAGCTATGAATATGAGAGAAACAGGCTACACAGCTCACACTTATTAATGTAGTTGAAGTTACCTGTTCATTTAAAATGTGTTACTTGAGCTCAGATTAACTTCCTCTCTTGTTGGGAAATAGATGAGTTTCAACAAGTCACATGCTTGAACAAAAGGTCTGTAAAATATTTAAGTAACAGCAATTATCAAGTTCAGCGTTTTATTCTGTCTTCCCAATGTTACTTGATAGAAGGACTTTTTGTTTCCCTTCAGTCATTCCTTGACAAGGAAAAATAAGGAGATAGCTTAAAGTCTAAAATATACCTTTTTGATAAATTCCAGGCTTATTTCCTGTGTTATGCTACAATAAATCCTAAGATATTATAACCTTTCCTATGACCATTACAGCCTATTTACTGAAATACTTGGTTTATTTAAATAATGATACACTTTATAATTAAGGCCCCCACTTCAGAAGGAAATTAAAAATTTAGCACTTTTCTGACATTGAAGAAAAAGGAATTATGTATGGATTTACATTTTCTTTGAAAATATGTACAATAGGGGCTGGGAAGGTGGCTCAGTGGTAGAGCCCTTGCCTTGCATATCTGAGGCCCTTGGTTCGATTCCTCAGCACCACATAAGCAAAAAGATAAAAGCCAGAAGTGGCTCTGTGGCTCAAGTGGTAGAGCACTAGCCTTGAGCTGAAGAGCTGAGGGACAGTACCCAGGCCCAGAATTCAGGCCCTACAACCGGACCCCCCCCCCAAAAAGAAAATATGTACAATAAATTTTGGGAGATAGAGAACCTGAATTCTAAGCACAACAAGTAGATAGATGATAGATAGATAGATAGATAGATAGATAGATAGATAGATAGATAGATAGATAGATAGATAGATAGATAGATGTTAGGTGGATAGATATATGGCTAGACATACATGTAACTAGCATGGCAATACTATATTGGACAAAGACAATTTCTGTATTTTAGCTAATTCATGGACAACGACAATTTCTGTACTTTAGCTAAGTCATATGTTGCCAATGAAATGGATCAAGGAAGAAAACATGGCTCAGCTCATAGTGTTATCCTTATTTCATGAAAATATGTAACTCATGTTCTGCATTTGTCTTTATCTCTTTCCTAAAAGCCAGGACATGGACCCATTTATAACCACAAAAAAAGTCTCATGAAAGTCACCCTGACCCTGTGTCCACATACACAGGCTTATCTCTCTCCTGTTCCTTTAAGTCTTAATGGTGTCACCCCAGTGAATGGTCCTGTCTTACTCAGTTAGGCTATCTTAATGGTCAGGCCTGCATTCATAATGTCTGAGGATCAGTTCATAATGTCTGAGGGTCAGTTCGAAGCCAGCCTTGGCAGGAAAGTCTCTGAGACCCTTATCTCCAATTAACCAGCAAAAAGCTGTGACTGAAGTGGTAGAGCACTAGTTCTGAGCAAAAGAAGCTTAGATACAGTATCCAGGCTTTGAGTCAAACCCCAGGACCAGCACGTTCACGTAAAGACATACATTTCTGTTTTTTTCTATTCCCCTTTAACCAAACCTTTGTTATATTATTATAGGTAAGTGGTCATAAAATAATACCAATATGTAATACAGACTACTGCCACTTTAGATCTATAGAGTTGCAAATAAATGAGACATAGCAAAAACCTAGCATAGAAATAAAATTTTTGCTCAGGAACTTTCCTTCAATTTTTATTTTGTAACTTTTAGAGTTTTTTCCATTATAAGGAGGAAATTTCACTAATTTAGTCACTTTAGAAACATAATTTCATAAACAGTAACCAAATACTAACTTGAAGAAATATTATTTTCTTTCAGATCAGTTTTTAAGGACAACCAGGGAAATGTGGACAGAGACTCAAGATTTTCACCATTGTATAGACAAGAAAGCAGCAAGATTTCAACTGAAGACCTCCTTAAACTAGTATCAGATTATAGGAGGTATGTTTGGGTGGAGGGAGTGGACACTCTAAATTAATGTAGGCCAACAGTGATGCCAGTGTTGATTTATTCGATCTATGTAACAAGACCTCATGACTTTAGTTTCAATTGTCCAAACTTCTCCAGAAGCTGATGGTTTTCTGATGATTATGCCCAAGTCCACATAGTTTTTTGTGTATGGGTGGTACACACCTGTAATCCCAGTAACTCAGTATGCAGAGACAGAAAGATTTCAAGTTCAAAGCCATGGCATAGGCCAAGTTGTTAATGATACCCTGTCTCAGATAATGCAAAATAAATACAAAAGGGGTGGGGGTATAGCTCAAGTTGTAGACTGCTTGCTTAGCGAATCCTGGGTTTGATTCTCCATACTGAGAATCAAGGTCACTTCACTAGAATTATATGTGGGAAAAAAAACATAGCACATTGGACTATATCAGTTATCTATAGTTGTGTAACAGAGCACCTATTTAGTAGTTTGAAGCGACATCTCTTATTCTACAGTGGGAGCTTGTCTCTTCCACTCAGGAGTATGGTGGGGTGGGGAGTCATCTTGGGCCAGATGATCCATTTCCAAGATAGCTCGTTTAGGCAATGCCAGTTGGTGCCGACAGTTGGCTGGGAGCGTTGATGGGCCTGGGGGCTGGGGATCCTGCCTCTTCACCATCATATTATACTGCTGTGAATCTAATCAACCACCGTATTTATATCTTACAAATACTTTCAGGAAAGAACAGAATTAGTGCTAAGAGAAAAAAATATATATAACTGTCACACTTTTAAGCGAATCATAATCCAACATTGATAATGATAAGACTGTTTGTTAAACTATACTCTAATACCTTCTGTTCCTAAATATTACCTTTCTACCTTCCCACCTAAGAATCAGCCATCTCCTTTCCACAACAAAAGCAATATGGTGTTTATGAACCAAGTATGATTCATATTTCTGCAGCACCAGTATTCAGTAGGCTTCTATTTCACCGAAAGCAAGGTTTTACCACTGTTCTTTTTCTTCTGGAGGGCTTTAGAAAGCCAAACAAAGATGCAACATAAAATCCTGAATCAACCTGATGTTTCTGTGATCTAATCTAAGGACTCCAACCACAAAGAGACCTTCCTTCCCTTTCCTCTTCACACACTGAGGCCTAAAAGTCCACAGAGGATTTTTGCAAGGCCATCCAAACCACTGTGAGACAATAGAGGGTTTTGTGGGGTTGTTTTTGCCACTTTACTAGTTGACATACTGAGCAGATGGGAGTAGGCAACAAATTTGGGGAGTGAACTGATACAAAGAGAAGAAATAGACTAGCAAAAAAAAAAAGCCATCACAGTAACACTTAAGCCACATCTAGAATACACAATATAATGCTGGCATTAACTTCTCTTGTGGAAATTTCACACCACATGGCATTAATTCTAAGTGGTGTGATACTAAGTGTCTAACAAATGACTCTCTAAGTGGAAAACAAAATAGAGCTAGATTATACTGATGGCCAATTTCCATCCTGAAAATTCTCCTGTGTTGCTGATTTCAAGCTACTAGTGGGTCCTACCTGAACCACAGGGCTGGGAAAAGATGTGGTCAGCAGTAAATAATATTTCTATCACAATGAAATGCAAACAACCTGAAAAGCACAGATAATCTCATCATGTTGTAAAGTAATTAGGAAGTGATGAACATTGAGTACTTATTAGCCTTATGTTTAATATCATTTGTTTAATGTTAAGTTGATAAAGTTTAATTTTTCATACTAGCCACATTCAACACTGGCAGCCAAAATGCCAAAGTTTTAGCATTGAGCATTCCAAGCCTGAGAGGAGCTGATTCAGAAGCCCTCGCTACATTTTCTATGGAAGTAGATTTCCTGAGGGAGATGATATTCAGCAGCTTCCACGCTGCTGGAGAGGAAGATTGGGAAGATGGTTTGCATAGTGAAGGAAGGAAGGGAATACAAGGACTTGGAGTCAGGGAAAGAATGTGGATGAAGATGGGTGTTAAACACAGTTGGCACACAGACACTGGAGGGGTGAGAGGGAGATTCCTGTCCTTGTTTGTTAATGAAGAGGGCAGATGCAGCCTCTTAGCACCTGTACCAAAGGTTCCTTGCTTCCAAAACTTGCCACTCACTGTGAACTCAAATTGCCTAATTCGAGCACCTTTTATTAACAAAACTATATACTTACTATTATACTTGGTTGCCATTCATATAAGTGGAGTAAGAATTAATAAATTTACAATCTTCTTTAGACTATCTGTAAGTTGATTCCTCCTGTTTTTTTTAATTTGAGGTCTAATACCTACCCTTGATAAAGCTGAGAATTACAGTAGATTGTTTTTTGTTGAAAATAATACGTGTGTGTGTGTGTGTGTGTGTGTGTGTGTGTGTGTGTGTGTGTGTGTGTGTGTGCACGCGTGCTGGTATACTTTCACAGGGCTGACCGGATAAGCAAAATGCAGACAATCCCTGGAAGCCTGGATATCGCTGTTGACAACATTCCTTTGGAACATCCAAGTATGATGATGATGTCATGATTTATGTGTAGCATTCTGATTATATACTGGGTTGTTTGGGTTGTTTTGTTTTCTTGGGGGGTTGATGAACTGGTTGGTTATAACATAAGGTGTATGTAGGTTGTTTGTATTCAAAATGGAAATGGAATTCATTGTACTCTAGTAATTTTGGAATTCTTGTTTTTTTCTTTAAGACAAAGAATGAGTATTGTCATCTAAGAGAATATTCTGGGTAGCATACCAATTAATTGGTGTGAAAATGTGGATTTAATTCTCAACAAGATAGTAGCATTTAATCTTTGAAATCCTGGAGAAAGCTGTCCTGATAGTATAAGCCTGTGAACTTAGTTATTTGTGGGGGAAAGACAGGAAAATCATGAGGTCAAAGCCATCCTGGGCAAAATTAGGAAGACCCTCTGTCTCTCTCTCTCTTCTCTCTCTCTCTCTCTCTCTCTCTCTCTCTCTCTCTCTCTCTCTCTCAACAAAAAGGAAAACAAAAAGAAGTAGAGATAACCCAATTGGTAGAGTGTTTGCCTAGCAAACAGGAGGCCCTACACTCAATTTCCAGTACCTCAAAAACTATAAAAAAAAAAAATCAAGAGAAGCAACCAAAATCCCTGGAGACGCTAGGATAAGATCAGGTAAAAACAAGGGGAGTCAGGCTCCTACAGACTGATAGCTCATAATGGAAGAATATATATTCTATTCAATTCCTGCCACTTAAAACAGAGGCTTGATACTATCCCACTATGCTGCTGAGGGTGGCGCTAAACATGTAACCCCCTCCCCCCACAGGGCCATGTTCTGCTTACAACTGAAATATTCTCAGTCACCCACTAGACAGAGGAGACCTGTGTTTTGTAGAATGTAGCATAAAACCTGCATGTGTCAGTGAAAATTAGAATTTCAGAATCTGGGGCTTCACCATTTAGAGTGTGTTAAGACTCCCTCTACAGAATGGCAGGCATGGAGCAGGCTATTAGCACAGGATATCTGGATACCCATTAGCACTATGAAGGTTTTCCATTCTTGTAGTTTCCCACAAATCATTTTAATGTGAAACATAATGTGTATTCTAGCTTAAGCCCTGACTCCAAATCATTTTTATATTGATTGGTGTTAAAAAAAAATGAAAAGCACCAAGGCTATTATTTGCTATTTCTTCTCCCTGATTTTGGGACAATTGGGCTTTTATTCCTTATGGAAAAGAAAGAAGGAGCTAAATGCTCTCTTTGAAATGCTTGTAGAGTATGAGGGAAATCTGAGCAGATAATGAAAATATTTTATAACTGATTTTTGGAAAAAGTAGTTATCTGATGCACAGACACACCTAGGTAATCTTCCTGCTTTATCTGAGTGCTGGAAGCTTCCTGATGGGGTGAGGGAAGGTTGGACAACTTGATCGCTTTTCCTGCCACAACTTCAGCCTTCAAACTGTTTAGTGACAGTGGTTTTGATTTACAGCTTCCTAATGGTTTTTCCTTCCTTCCTTTCTTTCCTTATTTTTTTCTTTTTCTTTCATTCTTCCTTTCTTTCTTTTCCTTTTTTACAAAGTTAGGTTTTAAAAGTTGGAAAATTCTACAGAAAATAAAATATAACAAATCTCAGAAGAAGGCCTTTAGGCCCTCACTGTGAAATCATTCCACAGAGAAAATTAAGTATTAATCCATCTGATACCATCAGTATAGGCCCATTGGACATTTTCTAACATCTATAGTCTTTTTGTATTATTATTATATGGGTACTGGAGCTTGAACTTAGAGTCTTGAGCCTTTACTTGGCTTTTTTGTTCACAGCGAACATCACATCACTTATGCCATACTGCCAGTCCAGCATTTTTCTGATTAACTATAGAAGGAGTCTCACAGAGTTTTTTGCCCAGGCTGGCTTCAAACCACTGTCTTTCAGGTCTCAGTATCTTGAGTAGCAAGGTATAGTAGAAGTCAGTGGATTATTCCTTATCTTATAAAATCTAGTGTGTGTGTTCAGAGGGTTGGTGCTTTTTAGCTGAGCATAGTGGTGTGATGAATCAAGAAGCTGAAGCAACCAAGCCAGGAGTTTGAGACCAACCTAAGCTACATAGAGAGTTTAAGATATGGCTGGTCTACATAAATGAGACCCTGTTTACATGCAACAATGACAACAACATGAAATATGAAAATTTTACTTTTAGAGTATGGAGAAGAATAACTTTAGACATAGAAAAGAGTTATAAATGCATCTAAAAGATTTACTAGGTGTTTCAGTCATGAGTTTTTATATGAAGTAGATAACTCAATTATCTATAATGCCCACATCCTACAAATATCCCATAGCATCAGTTGATATACAAAGATGGAGTTTTGATTTTGAATGGTGGATTCGTTTTAAAATATGTTAAAGATTGTTCACTTAAAAAGAACCCTATTAAATGACCAACTCTTATTTTCTGATTTTTTAAGACTGTGTAACATCGTCCTTTATCCCTGTCAAGCCTTTCAACCTGATGGCTCAATCTGAACCAACGGTGGAAGTAGAAGAATTTATTTATGACTCAACAAAGCATTGTCGTCCTTATAGAGTATACAAAAATCAGATTTACATTTACCCCAGACACCTCAAGTATGATAGCCAAAAATGTTTCAATAAGGTACGACATGTGTTTCTGAGATTTTATATTTATCTTTACCACATTTAGACCACTGAAGATGAACTGGTGCACAAGCAACTACAAATAATTGGGGACTACACTTGCAATAGAAAATCACACAGAGAAAAATGCCTACCAAGGGGTGGGTTCATCATAGACTTCATTTTATGGTTTCAGTTGAAGTAGAGCACTGGTAGATCATGCCTGTAATCCTACCTACTCAAGAAGCTAAGATCTGAGGATCTAGGTTTGAAGCCAGACCCCAGGCAAAGAAATCCATGAGATTCTTATGTCCAGCTAACCAGCAAAAACAAAAAGCTGGGAGTGGAAGTATGGTTGTTGAGTGCCAGACTTGAGCAAAACAGCCAAGCAAGAGTAAAGGCCCTGAGTTCAGGCCCCAGTGCCAGTACAAAAAAAATTTTTTAAGATGAACAGTTGAGTATTTAGTATCATCTTACAAAGCTACCAAAGATTTGTCTTAGAATTGTTCATCTTAAACTTTTGAGCACATTAATAATCATTTCTGAAATAAACCCTAAATAAATTTGATCTAGACCATTTTTATCATTTCTTATAATGCTCTCAAAATAGTATGCCTGCCCCTTTCAGTGTAAGTTCTTTCTTTTAAATCTCCCCAAATCGTTTTGCTATTTCTGAAAACTGTGGATAATGTCCCTAGGAAAATGCTGGTTATTCTGCATTTTTCAGACTTAATTAGAGGTGACTTATTTTAGGCACATAGATTGTGTTGGTGTGTCTTTTAAAGGGAAATTATAATTTCCATGTTCCCTCACTATAATTTCAGGCACGAAATATTACCGTGTGTATTGAATTCAAAAACTCCGATGAAGAAGGGGCCAAGCCTGTGAAGGTGAGCAAGTCAGCTAGGGTAGGGAGATAAAGAGGGCAGGCAAGTGTCTTGTCCTTGAAGTCACTGGGGGGACGGAGATGTTGATGTGTGGGTGAAAAAAGGAGGGATCTAATACATTTGTTCTATAATCTAGTAATTTTCTCTTTATAACCTGTGACTTACATGTGTAATCCTAGCTACTCAAAATGCTGATTTCTGATGATTGAGATTCCAAATCAGTCCTGGCATAAAAGTCTATAAGACTCATTTCTAATTTACCAGCAAGGAAGCCTGAAGTAGAACTATGGCTCAATTAGTAGCGTACCATCATTGAGCAAAAAGCTAAGGAAGCCCTGAGTTACACACACACATGCTCACACACACACACACACACACACACACACACACACACACGTTGTTTGAGATTTCTTAATTTCCTAAAATGTGCCTGGCTTAACAGCAATCATTAGAAATTAAGCCTCCTAGCTCTATTGTACACTGTTCATGATTTGGTGGGGGTAGGGAGGCCATTCTGATGTAAAATAAATACAGAGTTTGCACTCTGAAGAAATCTGAGCTTTCCATAGGTAGCCTGCTTCTCCCCTCAGCATACTGACCTAAAGCTGCACGCCCCAGCCAGCATCCGTGAGGTTGAGCAGAAGGCTGCCGTAACAGCCCAGTGTCTAATACTCTGAGCCCAAGGATGCTCAGCATGTGCTGTGGACACATGCCCAAGACTTGGAAGACAGCTCTGGGAAATAAGTCCTAGTTGCCGATTCCAGGATTCAATAAAACTGTGAAATTTGTATGAACTGCGTATGTCTAAAAGCACAGCTGCCCATCGTTTTGGGGGAGTTTATACTTGTTATGGTCTGTTTTCACTTTAGAGTATTCACACAATAAAGCAACCTATGAAAATAGAAGGGAAAGTTATTTTTAGTGGGCCAGCTGCCAGCTCTTAGCTATCTGCGAAACAGAGGCAAGATTGTAAAGGACAAAGCCGATTTCTAACTACACCGTTATTTGAGAGTGTTTCTTCAACCACTCTGTTAGATGAAAGTCCCATGCTCTGGTTTGTGCTACCAAGAAAGTCTGTCGTCTTATTTGGTTTGAGAATGACAAGTCTTGCAGATTAAAGAGAAGGGAATTTTTCACAATAACCACAATCACCATCGGTATCCATAGGCACCAAGCTCCACAACAATGCTAGCATAAGAGAGGAAAAAAGTTGAATGAAATACAGTTAGTCATTAAGCAGGACAGTGACCAATCAGCAACATGCCAAGTCTGTTGGGAAAAATTATAGAAGAGAAGAATCATCACAGGTGTGTGACACACAGAGATGTAGCAAGGCCCAACGTGAGACTCTAGGCTGAGGGGCCTTTTAGAGTGAATGACTTGAAGAAGCCATATCCCATCCTCTGGCCTGAGTGGGGATGGGGGAAGATAGCACACAGTGTGGTGATCCTGACATACTAGCTCAGGCAGCTGGATTCTGGGGTCAGGGTCCAGCCAAGCCTGTGGTTATCCAAGACCTGATTCTAGACCTGAACTGATTTCATAACCCCTTCAAGAAACCATTCTGCAGGCATCCACCTTGAATAAATGAGTGCGTACCCTCATGGCAGTCAAAAATGCAGATTGTGGAGGTGTCCAAGTATTTGCCTCTGCTGTTAAAACCTGTCAGCTGAATGGTAATAAACACAGATCAGTACATCAGAGAAGTCCAGTGTTGACTATGGTCCTTGACAGCCTTATAAATTGTCCTTGTCCTGGAATTAGTAACTGACCTTTTCCACGTAGGGATGTTTTCAGACCCTCATAATTGTTGAACTTTTGGGTTTTTAACAGTGTATTTATGGAAAACCAGGAGGACCTCTCTTCACATCAGCTGCCTACACAGCCGTTCTGCATCATTCACAGAATCCAGATTTCTCTGATGAGGTAAGAACCAGGCCTCCACTGCCCTGTGAAAAACCAGAAAGAATGGGTGAGTGGGTCAGACACTCTCCCAGGCATTCGTTAGACTAAGGACACCTACCAAGATTTATCAACTATATCGACTGCTGTAGGACGTTGCAAATTCCAATATGTCCTACTCTGGCAAACACAAGGCTCCTTTATGCCAGGCACTAGGCACTATTCCAACACACGCATCATTGCATTTAATTTCCATAGCTGTTCTGAGAAGGATATGCTGTTATTGCCTTCCTACTTATGGATGAGGAAACTAAGCCTCAGATGGGTAAAGTAACTTTGGGTAAAATAACTTTGCCAAGACACCATAATTAACAAGTGACAGAATTCAAACCAGATTGTGTGAATTCAGAGATGGAAGTTTCACCACCACCGTGCTACAGCATTAGTGATGCAGTGGTACAACCTGTTGTTCCAGCACTTGAGGGATGAGGTAGGAGAATGTAGAGCTCAAGGTCACCCTGAACTATATAGCAAGTTACAAGCTAGACTAAACTAGATAGCAAGATCCTTTCTCAAAAAAAAAAAATCAACAGTAACAACAAGAATCACTGAGTCAATAGTAAATTACTATGTGCATACTAGCTTGTGTAATAAACATCTTTGGGGATTAAATTTAATTTCTAATAATAAAGGTCAAAATGAATTCATCAAGGCTACCTGCTCTGGAAAGGTCTAGAGGGGAAACCGTTTCCTTACCAGTTCTAGGCTTCAGAGATAGCCTACCGACATTCTTGGTTTGTGATTTCTTTCCAACACTCTCAGCACTTTGACCTACTTTTGTTTTCAATTTCTTCCAACTCTTGACTCTCCTGCCTTCCTTTTTATAAGGACCTTTAGGATTATAATTTATTCACTTGACAAACCTGGAATAACTTCCCATTGTCTGGTCATTAACTCAACTGCTTCTACAGAGCCCCTTTAGCCATGGGAGGTATTCACAGGCTCTGGGAATTTGAACAGAAAGGGAAACTTTGGAAGGGATTTTTCTGTTCACTATACTTTGCCACATATACATTATTTTGAAATTAATTAATGAACCAACCTGGCAATAATATCTTCCACCTTAATATCAAATTAATGCACTTAATTTTCCTCCAAGAACATAAGACACAAGACAAAAGAAAAAGAAGGGAAAGAGCTGTTGACACATTGTGGAATATTTACTGTGTTGCAGGTGAAGATTGAGCTACCAACACAGCTCCATGAGAAACACCATATTTTATTTTCTTTCTATCACGTCACATGTGACATCAATGCCAAAGCCAACGCCAAAAAGAAGGAGGCACTGGAAACTTCAGGTACTGACGGGAAGCGAGCTGAAGTGGTATGGCTTCTTTACATCTGTTTGACTGGAGTTGGGGAGCAGTTTAAGAAGTTCTGATTTAGTTGGTGTTCATCCATGATGAACAGATAGATGTTTGTGCTCAAAAGTGTTCTCTTTGTCGTTCCTTTGTGCAGTGGGTTATGCTTGGCTTCCTCTGATGAAACATTGTCAGATAGCTTCTCAAGACTATCACATCCCAGTAGCAACAATTCTGCCACCTCATTACTTAAGCATTCAGGACTCTGCAAGTGGAAAGGTATGAATTGAAGGGAAAAGAAAAACATATCCGCTAAATGACACGGGGTTTCCTTTTCTCTCTGCTACTTCTATCAGCACCATTGTGTATGCGTCTGTTGTACTCACAAAAAGCAACTACAAAAATTAAAAATCTTTGTTTGGATTGTAGGAATGACTACTAAAAATAAGTGCATTCCCTGTTCTTATTGGTCTTATTCCCAATACTTCCAAAAGCGCTTAAATCTTTTCTTTTCCATCTCTGTGGTAATGTTCATGGTTTAGGGTAGCAAATAATCACACACTAACCTGTTGATTGTCTTCCTCTCAACATTTCACACTGACGATAACAAGCTCTTTTTTACAGCATGGCGGGAATGACGTCAAGTGGGTTGATGGTGGCAAACCCCTTTTCAAAGTGTCAACCTTTGTGGTGTCAACAGTGAACACACAGGTGAGCCTATATCATGAGCATGTCCTCTGACACACAAGTCCCAAGATCGCTCCGTGAACCCACATGCCGTAAAACTGCAGACCAAAATACTGCAACTATATTTAACAGGAGGATAGAGACTTTGGAGTGTGGTCTCTTCTACTTTAAACTGTTAAAAAAAATAAAGACATCAGACATTTACTCAAAACCTAAGTCTTAATTCTTCATGCCACCTCAGGGCCATGAGATTGGCAGAAACTCATCGGAAAATCACCTAGCCAAGTGTTGGCTCCATGGCCTGGACAAGTCATGTTACCACTACCGCCACCCCTCCCCCAGCTCACCGTACTTACATCCTCTTCAAAATAGTATACCAATAAAATATCTCTACTCAAGGTCTTGATAAAGATCGAAATGAAAAAGTAGATACAAAAATATTTTATGGGCTTCAAAATGCTTTCTATGCACAATTAGTTATTATCATGATTGATTTACCACAAAATCACCCCTTTTGTTACAAGCAAGCTTGGATTTTCAATTTTTGCTATATTTCCAGCCCATACTTATCTCCTAAGAATAATGAGATAATCCAGGTACCGTGAACATGCCATGCATATATATTAAACATATGATGTATGTTTATGTCACATATATCTTATAGACATACACACCTGTGATCATGTGATTAAAATTTCTCTAGTAATCTCTAGTGCTCCAAGATTTGGTCTTCATGTCTAATCCCATATTCATAATTGTGTAAACCCATCTTACCTCAGTTTCTAAGTCCCAAGGCTCGCTCTTTACCTAGGCCTTCCAGCCACACCACATGTAGTTAGTTTCTCTGAGGGAAATCCATGCCTCTACTACTCTTCTAAAATAATTGAATACTACAGGAACAAGAAAATTGCACTCAAATTCTCTCTCATTTCCTGAGTCCACAATTCACTGTAGAATTTGGACAATTTTCAAAAGGCTTTCAAGGGTGAGAGTTGGTTTTATCCTATTACCTCACAATTTTATTTCGTAATCTTCTGACTATCAGGCTGACATGACATTTTATGCCTAGAACTAACTCTGTGTGCATTTAAAAGTGCAATCTGTCCTTTACATTAATGAATATGTAAGATACATTTACAGAAATAGGTACATTAATTTAAAAAATAGTACAGCCAAGCGGGAGGGGGCAACTGTTTATCCTTTGTCATGTGGCCAAGGAAAACAACAAAACTTTGCGATTTCAGTAAGAAGGAGTAGGCTTTGTAGTTCCAGTGGAGCCCTTGTTGAGCCTGAATGTCCAGTGAAAATAGAAGTTCTCTGTTAGCCTTAGACTATATATAAACACTTGTCCATGTATGCACCCACCCAGATGAAGTGCTCATCTCCCATCCTAGAACTGTTGTCATCCTGTTTATGCATGATCATTAAGAAATACTTCTTTTGCTATTGCAGGATCCACATGTGAATGCATTTTTCCAACAGTGCCAAAAGAGAGAAAAGGACATGTCTCAGTCACCTACCTCAAGCTTCATACGCTCTTGTAAGGTAACATAACATGAAAGACATTTCAGTGGTTTACCAGGTAAGCCTGGGCCAAGGAGATCCCATGAGCCAAGGAAATCATTCACTTTCCACTGAAGATTCCAAAACCACTTACCTGTTCAGAGTAAGATTATTTCACTATTTCTCAGGAGTTCTATCTGTTGTCTAAAACAAAAGGCAAAGAGTAGGATTTTTTCATTAAAAATGAATTGAAAATAAGATTCTGCTCATTATGACTTATTAAGTGAAGCATGCCAGCAACACCTTGCTTAAGGTGAGAAAGGATAAAGCCAGATAAGGGGCTGTATGGAGCTACAGTTTCATATTCATGTTCTGATAAACACCCACACAACATATTCTATTGTTGTTTCCTTATTTATTGAGTTGATAAAATTTATATAAATATATCATGCACAAAACATGATGGTTTGAAATATGGATATACAATATAGTCACTAGATCCAGGAAATTCAGATATACAGTATGTCACATATTTACCAGGTACTTAACACATACTTACTTTGTGGTCAGAACATTTAAAATTTACCATCAAAGAGATGTTGAAAATGCGATCATTAATAACCATTGTTGCATGTTGCTTCATATGTCCTTGAACTTATTCATCCTGACTGAAATTATCTACCATTGGGCCAACATCCACCCAACATTTTTCTCCCCAGCTTCTTACAACCACCATTCTACTTCTAGGAATTCAACTAATTTAGATTCCACATATGAGTAAGATCATGCAGTATGTGTCATTCTTTGTCTGGCTTATTTCACTTAGTACTGTGTTGTCCAAGTTCATAGATATCAAAATGATAGGAGTTTCTTTTTCCTTAAGATGGCACACTATTCCATTGTGTAGGTGTGCCATAGTTTCTATCTCCATTCATCTGTTGATGGAAATTTGAGTTTACCCCATATGTTTTATGAAGTACATTCTATATTTTCTTTGATGAAATATCTATATCTATTATAAATGTCACTATAGTGAACAGGAAATGTCTCTTCAAACATACCAATTTCACATCCTGTTGATAAATATTGAGTAGAGGGATTGCTGGAGCACACAGCAGTTCCTTTTAAATTGGCAATATTTCTATTTATTTTTTTCATTATTGCAGTCTAATTTACATTCCTAGCAACAGTGTGCCAGGCTTCCTTCTCTCCACTTCTTGAATGGTACTTGGTATCTTTTGTCTGTTTGATGATAGCCATTCTGACAGGGTCAGCTGACATCTTATGTGATTAAATTTGCATTTCTCTGAAGATTAGTGATGTTGAGTGTTTTTCCATGTACCTGTCAGCAGTTTACAGATCTTTAGAAAAATTTCTTTTCATATCCTTGGCTAGTTTTTAAATTGTTATGTATTTACTTACTATTGAGGGTTGGTCTTTTTGTTCCAAGTTCCTAATACAGTTTATATTTTCACCTGTCATCAGATAAGTGGTTCTGAATATCTTTACCTATCCCATAGGCTGTGTTATCAAACTGTCGACTGTTCCTTAGGCTCAAAAATATTTCTGGTTTGATGAAATCCTATTTGTCTATTTGTCTGTATTTTTGGAGTCATTTAAAAAAATTATATATGTATATATATTATATGCATAATATATATTATAATCATAACATAATTATGTATTATGTTTTATATTATATAAGTATATATTACTATAATATTATAATATCATTATATATTATATTATCTATTATATAATTACATATATTGCATATGTTCATATTTACATGTTATATATAATTACACATATATAACATATAATTACATACATATTATTGTATACATATCATTATAACATAATTACATATAATTTTATGTAACAAAATATTTTATAATATATGTTATATATTATTATATGTGTTATATATTATTTATTATGTTATATATACATTATACATTATATTATATAAGCTATATAATCTATAAGCTATATATTATATAATATATTATATTTAATACATTATATAGATATATATTCCAGGCACCAGTGACTTATGCCTATTTGGGATACTGAGAATGGGAAGATCACAGTTCAAGGACAGCCTAGGCAGAACCTTCACAAGGCCTCTTCTCAGCCCATAGCTTGGCTCAGTGGTGCATACCTGTCATCCTGAGCTTCATGAGAGGCCCGTGCTTGGGGCAGTCATGTGCCAGGCCAGCCTAGGCAGGGAAAAAAAGTCCATGATTCATTTTGTGAGTCCCCAGAGATGGGAAGCGGATGCAGTGGCATGTACCAGTGATCCCAGCATGGCTGGGTTCCTAAAGTCTGCAGATCAAACTCAGGCACATGCTTGGGTAGAAAACAATAGTATATCATAAAAATTGCCAGTGATCTATCTTTCAATTATAAGGCATCTATGGTGTTCCCATAATTTGTCCATGGCAAATTGTGCAGCAATGAACATGGGTATATGCAAGTAGCTTTATTGTATCCCAACAAGCAGTCTTTTGGAGAAATGTCCAAGAGTGTTATCACTGGATCATAGCATAGTTCTAGTTTTAGCTTCTTGAGGAAACTCCATACTTCCTTCCATAAAGGTTGCATTAATTTGAATTTCCACCAAAAGTTAATGAGGTTCCTTTTTCTTCTACACCTCCTCAACACATTTGTTTTTCATATTCTTTTTTTTTTAATTTTTTTTTGGTCCGGTTGTGGGGGCCTGAACTCTGGGCCTGAGTGCTGTCCCTCAGCTTTTCAGCTCAAGGCTAGCGCTCTACCATTTGAGCCACAGCCCCACTCCTGGCTTTTTTCTTTTTGCTTATGTGGTGCTAAGGAATCGAACCCAGGGCCTCAGGCATGCAAGGCAAGCGCTCTACCACTGAGCCACCTTCCCAGCTCTGTTTTTTGTATTCTTAATGATGGCCATTCTGACTGGAATTGAACTTGAAAAATTAGGTTGAGTGAAGTAAATAAGACTCAGACAAAGGGCACATGCTTTCTCTCACATGTGGAAGTTAGTTCTAAAATGTAAATAGATATGAAAACATATACAAGACTGTATACATATAAACACAATCAAACTGACTAGAAGTGTGTTGTAGGAAGGAGTAGACACTCACAGTGTAACTCCCTTGAACAATTAACAGTTCACAATGAATACCAGAAAGTTGAAACATACCTTGTCTGAAAAGAGTAAGGCTTAATGGGAAGGAAATGGATAAATGGAAAGATGAATGATAGGTGAATACAGTCATACCACTCAATTACATAGGTGAAAATGGCGCCAGGAAACTTGGAATGGGTGGAGATGCAATGGCTGAGGAAGAAATAATGGAGGAATGAGACTGGTCAGAATGCACACTGTCCTCATAAATTGGCCTGTTGAAAAAAATAAACCTGCAAGCTGTAAAATAAGATAACCAGTGGACCAAAGGGCTAGAGGCATTGCCCATCCTAGCAACCATGAGGCCCTCAGTCCTAACCCCCAGTACTTCCAAAACATTGTTACAGGCTAGATCATTGTCACAGAGCTTTACATCCGTTTGCTAGATAAATTTTAAAAGGTTCAGATTGTACATTTAAGGCTTAAATCCAGAACATTCTTTTCATTTAATTGGTATCTTTTTTCTGCCAATTTACTACAGAATTTGTTAAACGTGGAAAAGATTCATGCGATCATGAGCTTCCTGCCTATAATCTTGAACCAGCTCTTCAAGGTTCTGGTGCAAAATGAAGAGGATGAAATAAGCACAACTGTTACCAGGTACCTTCCCCACACCTGGGGAGCAAAGGCTGCAAGCTGGGGTCCCATTAAACCTTGATTGCTTGGTTGTAACTGTGATGTTTACATTTCATTTGAACACATCTCAGACTTTAGTATTTCTTGCTCTTGAATCTTTTCCTCCTCATACCCTATCATTATCATTAGTACAGAGGAAATCATAATTTCTCATTCATAACCAGTAGTGTTTTGAATTAAAGATTTAATCATATAATATTCCTGTTGCTCATTTTTTTAAATTAGTTTTAGTGTTCTGAATTTTAAAAAGAATTAAAATGTTTATGGGATCTGCCAGGCCACTGGTGGCTCATGCCTGTAATCCTAACTACTTAGGAGGCTGAGTTCTGAGGACTGAGGTTCAAAGCAGAAAAGCCCATGTGACTCTTATGTTCAATTAACCACCAGAACACCAGAAGCAAAGCCATGGCTCAAGTGGTAGACCTTCAGCCTTGAGTGAAACAGATAAGGGTCAATGCCCAAGCCTTAAAATCAAGTCTCAGTACTGGCCCAAAAAAATAAAACCAGCATTTACACTATCTTTCTTATTCTCAAGCATATTATTTTTTTTCAGAGTAAGAGATTTTAGATTTTAGTCTAGTAAAGCTCCAAAGATCTGGAAAGTTAAACTATTTATAATGGTTCCACAGCCAGCCTTTTCTGGACCCAGATTTGAAGTTACCAACTATGCCTTCATCTGATGCTCTTTTCAGCTGAGTAGATTTGTCTATGTTAACAAGATTTTTAAATATGGAAACTAATAGATCTGTTGAAATTCTGGTATATTCCTATGCACTCAAGTCATGGAGTAAGCAGTAGTTACTAACATGAAATAATAAACATGTACTGTCCTTGCCTCCTGAAATCTTAATTCAACTAAGGGAAAATAAAACAAAGCCAAAAATGAACGGCTAGATCTTAACCTAATCCTTTTTCCCCAAAGTCTGTATTACACCTGTAGTTTTGAAGGCAATCCCTTGTCAAATAGAATATGATGACTTATCAGAGATTAAAAGTCTCCCCTTTCAATTTCATACTTAAAAAATGGTTTCTAATCCAAGAAGACAGTTTCAGCAAATGTGCTTGCCACAAGTGGCACACAGAATTTGGACAACAAAAATTTCCTATATGTTATTACAGCCCTGAGATACTATCTCTACCTAATTGTTTGGACACTGCAGGGTTGAAATCATCTCACTGAGGAGAGTAAAATGTCCAGTATTAAGGAATAAGAAAGGCAAGAAGAAAGTAGGACATGGGTTTACTCATGAATTCTTAAATATGCATTTACCTAGTGCTCTAATGACAAAGTACACCGAGGAAGGCTACTGAACAGCTTTGCTCTTCCAGGGTTCTCACCGATATTGTAGCCAAGTGCCATGAGGAGCAGCTTGACCATTCAGTCCAGTCGTACATTAAGGTAGGAAATTGCCGCACAGGCTCTGACCATCTCCCCCTGCTGTGTGGCTTGCCTCATTTCTTGTCCGCAAGAAGGGGAAAGTTCTTGCCCCTGAACATGGTGTCCGCCATGACACCCTTAAGAACTCCATTTTTCTGCCCTGATGGACTAGATGTATAAATGTATAAATGTCTGAAAAATGTGTATGTGTACAATTGAAGGAGAGAGGATAAAGGAGAAAAATAGAAGTGTTGTTCTTTTGAAGTTGGCAGGACAAGCGCATGAACTTCCTCTGCTCATAAGAGGAAGCCTGTTTTTGGTATGGATGTGTGTACTGCTCTGTCTTTCTTCTGTAATGTTTTCTTAGCTCTTTTTATTGTTTTCTCAGGCATTATTTCCTTTGCCCAGTTACTGTATATTTGTACCTGCTTCTGGTATGTTAAGTCCTTTATCTTCTGGCATGAGCCCCTTGCCCATCCCATTTGTCTGCACTGCTTCTTCAGTGGTTTTGTCAAGTGTTCACCCAGAGACATTTCTGTGCTCATTTCCAGTTGGCCTGTGAATCACTGCCAGTGAACTTGTGATGATGTTTGCACCCTCAGAGCTCCAACTTAAATGTCCTTTCCTTGAATAAAAAAGAGAGAACCCACCCAGAGGCACAAATACAAGGATCTTAACTTACTTTGTAATATGTAGAAGACCTACATTTTTTGCTTTTACTATGCATCTATTAAATCTTTCTTGAAGCATTGTTACTTTTAAGTTAAGAGAATATATACACTCTTATATATGGGCAAACATGCTCAGACCCTCTAAATGTTTAGAAATATAACTAGACCAGGATTTGAGCCTATTGTGCTAGAAATAATGTTTTTATAATAGTATAATAGCAGTGATTATTATTATAGTGTTCCTGTGAACGGACATAACTGTAAATCACATTGTGGACTAAACCTTTAAGATATACCATATATAAGGCATGTTTTGAAATTACAGATATTTTATTTATATACATATATATAGTGAGAAATGTTTGACAGCTTCACAAAATACAAAAGCATTAATTGTGCTCTTCCTTAAAGTAACCTGTGTCAAAGTATAACTTCATCTGCGAAGATCGACATTTAAGTTGGGTAAAGTCATTTATATCTACAAACCTCTTTGCTCTCTGTTTAAGAGAGGGCTTGAGCTTATTTTTTAATAGGATATTAATGAGTTTATCTGGAGAACTCTTTTCCTCCATATTTACCCCCAATTTTCCATTACAACTTCCAAAGGTACTGAGAAGAAAGAATAATTATTTGACCCCATCATATATACATGAGCAAGATCATGTTCACCCACATGCTTTTTTACTAGGTTTTGACTGAATCAATGAAAGTCACACCACAAACCTAGTGATCTCCAAGGCAACTTCCTTATGAGTACCTCCCTTCTCTAGCTCTGATGCTTTTGGAGAGATGCATCAAAGATATAACTTGTGGTGATCTTAATTTTCAATCAGAACACACAAAATATCCTGAAAAACCATTTCACCCTGAGCACAGGAAATGGACTGCTTATTTACTTTGTTTTGAAGTGATTTACATCTAGAAATCAGTCTGTGTGGAATTTCAGGGTGATGACAACAATTCTTAAAAAAATTAGAATCTATTTTCAAATATCTAAAACACACGCTTCCCATAAATCCAATCATATTGCATTTTCCTCTGGAGAGAAGTCACTAAATAGCAAGCAAGAAACTACGATTTTGAGTATTAAGCCTCCCAAAGACTGTTTTCTCCCTGTGACAAAAGATGAGCTGGAATAAATGACCATTCAGCAGGGTTCTGTTTGGGGACTTCTATCACACTACAGAGTTGACTGCCTCGTTGTATTTTCCATAAGTGGGAAAATTATTTTTAACATGCAGTAGAGGTTAAACTCAAGACCCCATAGACAGGGAAAATGGGTGAGCTGTCTCCATAACATCCTTGGATATTTTTGAAAAATACCATATTCAGTATAACTTTACTTATTTAGAGGTAATGAAAACACCATTTCAAGTTCAGTGGTGCTTAATGCTGCTATGCTAATTCACTCCATCCCACAATATCTGAACTGCACTCAAACACCACCGTCTTCTCCAAAGATGTGTGTCTAAAGTCAATGTAGTTAAATGCCATGGTTTACAGTGATTTGTAGCACTGACAGAGCCTAATGAGGAGAATATTAATAACATGAATATATCAGTGCTAGATATTTATTTACTGAGACCCTTCAGCCTAGACAACTTTATGGGATTGCATAGTTGATGATGACATTACACTCACATGAGATGTATCTGTAAGGGAAAATGTTGTATTGCTCTTGCTAATAACTAGCTTGAGGCATCCACTACCTTTGTCTTTAACCTTTGAAATGAGCTTGCAAAACTCAGACCCTGCCATGGTGCTAATGTGCTACATAGGTCAAAGAGATGTTTCTAGATTCAGAAGTGAATATGCCAATCTCTTGCTTCCCTTTCTTTTCAATTGTGAACAACTATGAAGAAATGCCGTTCCTTGAGGCACACCCAACTCATAACTAAAATACTATCACTGGGTCATAAACATGTTATATTTGAAATATGGGTATTGCATAACATTAATACAGATGTTCTTAAAATCTATAGAAAGCATTGAAAATTAGCCACAGACAAGTCTCCTGTGAATAAAAATAAAATAAGCAGCATTTGCTCTTACTTTGGCCAATATTTATGAACCTCCTGATAATTGCTGCTAAGCATGGGGTGGTAGACCCTGGCCTCGTGGGGAGCTCACCTACTGTCCTCTCTGGAAGGCACCCACTTCCCCACTTGGCTATTTGAGTGGGTGCTCTACCCTTTCAGGATGAAGAATTTCTACCATGCCACCTGTTACCTGTGGAAGGAAGAAGGGGAATGTGCCCTAAGTAGGTGGGTCAAAGCCCTACATGTTCCTTGAACCTGCTAAATAGCCCTCTGACTCTTTCTCTTGATGTCTACAAAGAGGTTCAAAGAGAGCTTAGGTGAGCAAGGTTCTACTTGAGCAGAGACCTACGTAAAAACAGGTGTGTATTGCTGTCATTGGGCCTCCATTAATGTCATGACAAAAATCTAGCATGAGCAGATAATTTTCAGAAAAGAGTCATCTCCTGTAGCATCATTTTTGATGCTCTTCCCTAAAACAAAATCATTAACTTTGGTCACTTTTTTGTATTTTCTTCAGTTTGTGTTCAAGACAAGGACCTACAAGGAAAGAACGATACATGAAGAACTGGCTAAAAATGTGACTGGCCTGTTGAAGTCAAATGACTCAACCACAGTGAAGCATGTCCTGAAGGTAAATAATGTCAAGACAGTTGATTACTGATTGGTAGTAGAGATGGATTGCGCCCTCTCCTCAAAGAAAGTGGGACTCATTGATTTTTTTCACAGGTCATTTCTCTTCTCGTTTCTAACATAAGCTTCATATTGAAATTGCAGTACATAAAACACTAAGCAATAAAATACGAAAAAAAGTAAATTAGATTTGGGTTAAGTGCTTTGACCTGAATCCAAAGTCTACAGATAGAATGAAAGACTACTAAGTAATCTAAAACATCTTAAAAGACAATCTATACAAATGAACTATACAAAGAATACAAATGAAGCCAAGGGGGTGGGGTTTAGACACTAGAAAAGGAAAAATGCCAAGGAAAAGACTAAGGATGTTATATCCATGAGTATGATAACAAAAAGGAAATGGAACAGATCAGTCTTTTATCTCAAAAACTGATGGTGAAAACATAGACAATAACTCTTGTGGAGCCCTGAATTTACAGGCAAGCTAAATTTAATTATTTATCATGACAGGCAAGCTAAATTTAATTATTTATCATGATTTGACAGATGAATGATTAATTAGTAGCTGGAAAGAAAGCTGGAAATCAATAAGAATCAACTTGAGTTCACTAAACTCTAATTATCCTAAGCCAAGTAATTTATTTGTTTACATTAGCCTTATCAGTATATTCAACAAATTCAATCCAGGAACCTCCTGAAAAGCAAAAATACCCCAAAGGCATTTGAGAGATAGCAGGGAACAAAATTAAGATTCCTACCCTTGGGAAATCTCTATTCTTCTGGGGGAGAAAAGCTACAGAGTACAGATATAATTTGAAAACATAGCATATCACAAGCTAGAAGGTAAGAAGAAGGAAAATTAGAGAAGAAAATAGGGGAAGTGGGCAGGCTGGGGGCAAATGGAGATCTCCTGGAGACGCAGTACTTGAGCAGAACATGTGAAGGAAGTGAGGGACCTAGCTGTGGACATTTTAGAGTAGAGCATTGGAGACAGAGACCTCTGTTTAAGTTGTAAGGCAGCTGTGAGTCTCCAGTAGGCCACTATATCCAGAAGGAAATGATCAAAGAAGGGAGGGTAAGGTGACTTTAGAGAAGCTATGGACAACTGGCTTGTTTTTGAGGCATTGTGAGAGTGGTAACAGTCTGCTAAACTCTGAGACAAATATGAGAGCATTAGGCATGATGATTGAAATACCCTTTCGCAGGGGGGGAGAGAGGGTGGAGGGGAGGGGAAGGATTGGGGGGGAGGCTGGGAAGGGATGTGAAGGGTAAACAAAGGAGGAGGCTGCAATGAATGCTTGATAAGAAATGTACTCATTATCTTGCTCATGTAATTGTAACCCCTCTGTACAGTATGTTCACAAAAAATAAAAATAAAAAAAAGATATACCCTTTCAGAGAAGGTAGGAAACGGGGTTGTTATAACAGGCTTTAGATTCATTAAATATTCCTAACAACATGGATTGCACTTCCAGTATCATATAGCCATTTCCATTTCTTTTTGCTAAGAAATGATGCCTTTATTAAGGTATAACTGCCTTGTAGGACATCAGCTCCTTCCTCCTCCTCTCATTCTTCCTCTGGAATCAGGGCTGTGTTCCCCAAAGTTCAGCACCGCATGGTATCAGCCTAAAACTGGAGATACTTCAAGTGTCCATTGACAGTTGAAAACAAAATAAGTAAATAGTGATTGTGTATGTAGTGTGGCAACAATTAATGAGCCACTATTACAAGCCACTCCAGCAATGGACCTCAGAACAGAATTGGTTGAATGAAAAGGGCAATCTCAGGAGAGGATCTACAACATAGTTCCATTCTTGTGGTAGTCAAGAGTCAAAACCTCTTCAATATGTAAGTAATGGTAGCACAATTATTGAGGGAGTAGAAAGGAAAGATGATGGGTTAGCTTTGTTTTTAAATTGCACCAATGCCACATAACTTTAGCTATGGGATACATAGCTTGAGAAGGAGGGCCTTATCTAAAACATGCTTTGTTCTACTGAAGCTGCACCTGAGTCCAGAATATAAGAATAGCTAAGAGAATATGCCTGCTGGGACCCCAGCTCCCTTCTATATAAGCCTTCTAGGCCTGAACAGATGCCTCAAGAGTCCTAGGGCTGATCCAGGGTTTGCTTAGACCTCTTTTCCAAATTTCTCCTACATCGGACTGACCTGCAGGTCCTAGCATAGCCGTAGACCCCAGGAAAGAGGTATGTGTGGCAGGAGGAGAGAAAGTTTGCGGATAGGTTGGTGATAGGTAGGCTGGACAGTCACCCATGGGCACCTGCCTCTCAAGTTGTAGAAGCCAGGGAACAGCTAGAGCCCCATTCTGTCCACGTTTCCCCACATTCTGAGACAGTAGTCCCCAGTTCTTTGAACTTACATCACTATTTGTAACACTGTCAGCTTGACATTCAACTTGTAGATATTTAAATATCTTTGTTTTTACTCTCTTAGGTATAGGCCTGAAAATGTTAGAGATGCTAAGAAGGGTTTGTTAGCTTGGTTAAGGAAGTAAAACAGACTGTTTTGTTGAGCAGTCATATTGAGTAAATTGCTAACTTGTTTAACCTGAGCTATTTGGGTGACATTTGAGAAGCTGCAATATATGTCATATTATTTTACCATTATGACTTTGATAAAGATCATCCAAACAGAATGGAGACTATACTATTGATCTGCTTCATTTAGGTTTCAAAGAACTCACTTTAAGATACAAACATTGTAACATACTATATACTGTGAAGAACAATTACCATTTTAACATAGGAGAACAAATTCCTAATTGTCTTTGTTTCGTTGTAACAGCATTCCTGGTTCTTCTTTGCAATTATCCTAAAATCAATGGCGCAGCACTTAATTGACACAAACAAAATTCAGGTAAGATTACAGGTAATACAGTAATGTCATACTATCTAGCAATTACACTGATGAGTATTGCTTGTTATTTCTATTTTTATTGGCTTTATAAGCATGAACAGTTTATGGTAATTGCTTTTTAAGCAGAAGAGATGACTGTGTGTGTCAGTAAAAGTCTTACTTGAGCAGGTGCCACGACAGAGATAGAAATACAATAGATTTTGGAGGGAGAAATAAAGAATAAACTGAATAGGGAAAAATAACAGGAATGTCTGCTACTTGTGAAAGAAAAGGAGAGGAATGAGGCATGTCCTGAATGAGCCTGTGAGTGAGGGAGTTTTCAAGGAGCTGATGAACAGTCTGAGAGCAAAGGATGCTCGCAGGAGGAGACTTGGATGGAGTACATAGACTTGCTGGAGGCTCTCAGCCAGCTCAGACACTGAACGGGAGTTGCCTGGGGAGCAAATACAGGATCTAGGGAGAAAGACTTGAACGGATACAAGATAAGGTAGTTCTTTCCATTCCTCCCAAGAGATTCTGCCTTGAAAGATGATCTGAGAGCTACGCACAACTAACAACTATGGCTTCCTCAGTCCCTGATTTATGTGGCACAGTGCACGTGTTTGCACATCTGTGCTTCTGCAGACAATATGCGCTCCTCTGCCTGACAGGAAACTCGGAAAAGGGAGACTAATGAGATCAACCACAGCTCCATTCTAGGCCCCCTTGGCCTCACTCAAAGCTGTGAAAGTTTGGATGGCTCCTCTGACCTGTCAGTCTCAGCCTTAAGAAGTCAACAGTCTATTCCAGCTGAGATGGCTGCATGTGGTCCCTTACTATTAGAGTTGAGGGAGAGGGACCAAGGGACACCGGAGTGCATTGCTAAAGTTCACGCATGCTTCTCTCAGCTCCCAGGTGGATACAAGGGGGAGAGCTCTGAGGCCACACCTCCCTTGCGGGGGGGGGGGGGAAGGGCGGGAGGGGGGGTGAGGTCAGAACAGCACTGGGTAGAGTACAGAGGTGAAGGATTTATGATTCTGTCCTGATTTACAAGCTTGCTAGAGCACGGATCAGAACTCTGAACTGGCCTCCGCAGTACAAAACTACACAAAATGAGCACTGCTATTCCAAATGTAATTTTGCCGGTGTAAAGCCCATGCATATGTATGTGTGTGGGGCCAGAGGGGGGAGGTTAGTTAGGTTAGATTGATTTACTGTAAATTTATTTGATCTAAAAAAGAACTATTCAATATACGCAAGAGTTACCATGAGATTAAATATTTCCTAGTAGGCTGGCTCTGAAACAAAAGGCCATTCCAAACTAGTTGTAGTGTGTTCCATTATTAAATCTCCATATTATACGACTCCAGTCACCTTAACCCTTGAAATATTATTCTTGCAGCATAAAAGGCTGGTTGTATATAACTGAGAAATGTGCTTTAGTCAGACTCTAATTTTTACATTGCAACCTATAGTGGAGCTACCTGGGTCTAGAGGTCTAGTTTTTTGTATGTGCCAGTCCTGGAGCTTGAACTCAGGGCCTGGTACTGTGTCACTGTACTCAAGGTTAGTGTTTACCACTTGAGCCACAATTCTACTTCTGGCTTTTTGGTGGTTAATTGGACATAAGAATTTCTTGGACTTTCCTGCCCAGGTCTGCTATCCTCCTGACTAGCGAGGGTTACAGGTATAAGCCATTGCCTCCTGGATTTTAACCATGAATCAGTCTTGTTTGTCTTGTATAAAACTGCTTGTTTAAATTCAAGAGGAAAGAACTTAATCATTCCAAACTGCCTCCTTAAATGCAAAAGTCCTAACAGGGTTAATATAGTTTTATTAAATAAAGTTGTATAATCATTGCAAACTTTTCAGCCTGTGAGTCCACAGACTCACCTGTACCTCTTACAGGATCTAAGACCACAGAGTTAAGACTGGGTGGAATTCAGTACTTACTAATAAACATTTCAAACCTCTGTTCTCACCCAGTTGTTTACTCACTAATTTCTTTGGTTATTTATTAAGAGGTCTAGTTTTAATTTTACAATTTTTTAATTCAATTAAATGAAATTATATTTCCAAAACATTTTAGACTAATTGTCTTTAATGTTCTTGGTTGGGGTTTTTTTTGATTATGTGATACTGAGGTTTGAACTCAGGATCTCACACTTTTTAGGCTAGCTTTTTACCACTTGAATATTGAGAAAGTACTCCTGTACACTTGTTGGCATAAATGTTCTGGACTTGTTGGAAAAATTAGTGTTTTTCTTGGCATTCGTTTATGCAGTTTTCTGCTAACAGTGCATAAATTATGTCTCACATGGAGGCATTATTTTTGGCTGGTTGTTTTGAGATAGAACTTCTCAACCCAGGCTAGATCTGAACTACATCCCTTCTGCTCTCAGCCTCTGAGTAGCTACCATTACAGCTATCACTCAGGCTCATTAAATTGTAATAATACTTATTTTCTGGAAGGCAAGAGAAGAGAATTAAAAAGTGGAAGGTCATAAAAAGATTTGTTCACATTTTATTTCATACATTGCTATATTGTTTAAATACTTTGCAATATAAGTAAGTTTCATAAAAATATATTGGCCAAACCACAAAGGAATAGTAAGTGGTAGGAACTATGCCTAAGAAATTTAGCCAGCTCCTATTTTATTACAGCTTTCAGAAAGAGCTCTTTTTATTTGGTGATCTATAAAATAAAGTAAGTCTTTCAGTCCTTTTCATTCTGGCTTAGGAGTTCACATGCCACATTATAAGTAATCCATTCTTTCCCCAGCTTTCCCGGGCTCAAAGATTTCCTGAATCTTACCAAAATGAACTAGACAATCTTGTAATGCTTGTCTGCGACCATGTGATTTGGAAATACAGAGATACGCTTGAAGAAACTAAGAGAGCAAATCAAAGCGTTGCTCGATTTCTTAAGGTACGATTCCATGAGTTCACAATTCTACCCAGCCCTCACTATGGTGGCTACAAGATAATCTAAATTCTAGTTAACTGACATCTCTTTAGGTGATGCAGAGTCTAAACTAGCACAGTAAAGTAAGTATTTCCATTTTCACCTCTCTCTTGATTGAAATACTTCAGAGTATTTTTTCCTACTTAGTATCTCATTGAAGAAGCAAGGTTAGATAAAAGTATCCATCTGAGTGTTGTCAAATAACAATACGTCTAACATTTTAAGGAGAAAAATAAAATGACTAAAGGAGAAGCTACACTGAAGTAATGTTATTCTTTTGGGCATTTTAGTCTTTGAAGTGACATATAGAATCCATCATTGCTTTAAAAAATAACACCAAAATGGCTACTTTGGGGAAAATGATCAGACATTTTGCTATGTTGCGTCCAAGCTTTCTTTCCCATGATGCTAAGATAGAGCATTGACCCCATGAAAATGAAACTATCAATTTAGATGTTAAGCAACCACTTTCTGAACAAGATATACATGGAAATTAAAGGTATTTCTTTAAGGTATAAGCGTTTATATTGAATTGAGATAGAAACATAAAAAAGTAAACAAAAACCCTAGCAGGCATTAGAATTATGGCATATCATTTAACAGAAAATGCTCTTAGCAAAACATGTGTTCTTCCCTTCCTTTTTAAATCCAATGTGGACAACTATAACCTTGATGCTCACTTTACCTGTTTCTTTACCAACAAAACAAGCACACACTGAATGGGTGTGAGAATTTATAAATAAAAATCAATCATGTAAAGAGTATACTTAAGTCGATAAGTAGATGGAAAATTAGCCTAAGTTGTCTTTGGGGGTTTTTAATACAGACTAATTCTTTTACTAATTCTTTATTTTTATTTTGGTGCCACTATATGCTTAACAGAATAGAAAAGTCAGAAAAAAATCTTATGTACAGTCCAGTTTATCAGGAAAATGTTTTATAAAGCATCTGGAATATTCTTCCCTAAATTGATAAAAAAAAACACTGAATAAAATAATCTTTAAAAAGGAGAAAATACTCCTTTCCACTTTGTGTGTATGTGTGTGTGTGTGTGTGTGTGTGTGTGTGTGTGTGCACGCACATGCGTGCGACTATGTTCTGGTATTAGGGTTTGAACTCAGAGTCTGGGTACTGTCTCTTAGCTTTTTTGCTCAAGGCTGGCACCCTACCACTTGAGCCACCTCTTCACATCTGGCTTTCTGCTGGTTAATTGGAGTCATAGAAATTTCTTCCCTGCTGGCTTCAAATTGCAATCTTCAGATCTCGGTCTTCTGAGAAGCTAGAATTATAGGTGTGAGCCACCAGGGCCCAGCTCTTCTTGGTTTAAGTGCTCTATATTTATTGGGGGAAAATGGAATGCTTTTCTTGGAGCTCATTTATGCAGAGGTTGCTCCTGGAAGCACATAAATTAATGTTTCCCTTGTGGGGGGGGATTAAAAGCATCCAAATTGGAAGAGGAATACTAGCGTTTTATGGAATCTGTAACTCAAAAGCACAGAATGTCAATGAATATGCATAGTCCATAATATGTACAATACATGGACTTTGAATCAAAATTAATACACATATGAAAAAAATTAATACACATATGAGAAATTTCTGAATAAAAGATTAGTTCAATATATTCTTTATCACAAGAGTCCATTGGTAGTTTGTAGTTTTAATGGCATTTATTTACACAGAATAGTTTAAAACCTTTTCTGAAAAGTTTACTAGATGACACATTTAAAGGAGGAGAGTGCAAAGGGTAGATTCAGAAAAATGACTTGACAATATGAAATTATGTCATCATTTGCTACAATTCCAAAGAACGTGCAACTCTGAGCTTTCAACTTAATACGGCCTACACTCTGTGTTGACATTATAAATCTCTGACATCCCAGCAATCTGATAACAGTTACTTGCTCAAGTGAGTTTCAAATGACTTTTACCTCTTTGGGGTTTGTTGAATTTGTTGTTAGAGTTGTCAAATATGTGGCTTCATCATCATTAGAATTTAGCAATCAAAATTTTGTTGTAATGTCATAGTTATGCCAAGATTGTTTGTCAAGCATATAGAAAACAGAGTCTATAGAATATATAATAGGTGGGCACAAATACCCTGGATAAAAAGGTATCCTGTCTTCTGGGACATCATCAGAAAGTATTGTTTTCACAGAAATTATGTCATCATCTTTGTACTTTATTGTTTTTACTGTTTGCTCCTCAAAGTGCATTGGATTTGAATGGCTCTGTGCCAATCTCATGGCTGTTTTTAATTTTCCTTATTGTTACTAGACTGAGTCATGACGCTTACTTGAGCACACTCATTTAGTGTCTTCTTTAAAGCACAATATCAAGGTGTGAGCAAAGGCTGATTCATTCTGATTTTTATTTTCCTGCTTACATGGCCATAACTTGTGCCTACTCACCTAAATAGCCCTTGCTTTTATTTCAACTTTGTCTTGAATACCATTTGGAAGCCATCTATTGTAAAAGATAGACTTGGTCATGTCACCAAACTCATTTAAAGAAATGTCAGTGATAGTTCTCTCTAAACAGCCTAAGGAGGATGAAGAAAAAAAAGTGAGTCACTACAAGGAGAAAGTTTTCCTGTCTCCCCTGCTTTGAAAATAGTCTATGTATTGAGAATAAATGAAAGTTCTCCTGAGATGTCACTGAAATAGTTACTGCTAGTGGTCATAAGCTGACACTTAACATGAGATCAGAGGAAGGCTTCCCCTGACAACAAAGGAAGTGGTGTGCATATCTGTAAAGTCTTCAAGCAAACAACAAGGATGTTCACAGAGCTTCTTTTTATAATTCAGAGGCCCATAATTCATCTGAGAACCAATGATAGGGTAGATCTTTCCTGGCTCTCACATTTGCTGAAATAAAACTTAGTTCATTCCCAGACTAATTTTTTATTGTCTGTTAAAATATTTGACTTTTCAGGCTGGGAATGTACTTAGTGGTAGAGTGCTTGCCTAGTATGCATGAAGCCCTGGGTTCGATTCCTCAGTACCACATACACAGAAAAAGCCAGAAGTGGCTCTGTGGCTTAAGTGATAGAGTGCTAGCCTTGAACAAAAGAAGCTCAGGGACAGTGCCCAGACCCTGAGTTCAAGCCCCAGGGCTGGCAAAATCAAAAAATTGACTATTAGTTTGTTAGTTCAATTGAAAAAATTTTGATAAGCTCTTACATACCATCGAAAGCAGGAATCCGCAAACTTTTTCTCTAAAGAGCCAAAAAACTAAATGTTTTCAGCCTTATCCACAGAATTCAACTCTGCTCTTACAGCCCAGAAATAGCCACAGACAATCCACCAACGATATGTGGAAATGACTGAGTGTGGCCAGGTACCAATAAAATACTACTTTCAAAAAACAAGTGGTGAGCCAGATTTCCTCCCCTGGGCCATAGCATACCAAAGCCTGCTATATTTTTCTATTGATCTAAAGGTTAATGTAGACTACCCTAAAAATAAAAGTTAAAAGCCCCTGCAGGCCTAGCAATAGACAGAAGAGCCACTGTCAAGAAGATGCCAGAACAGAGCAGACACTGGGACTCAGCGCCAGAGACAGACACTTGAGGAAGCAGGAGGAAGGAAGAAGGCTGATTTCCTACCACCTAACGATGAACCCCTTTCTCCCTTCCTACCTATTGGAAAGAGGGTGGAAACTTTACCATAGAGAAGATCGTGTTTCAGATTCATGAAACTCCTACTTGGCTTTTCTAGCTGCCCAGTATAGCCTTCTCCCCACCATCCCCAGTCATGGGTACTGGAATCAAGTCCTCCTCAAATGCTCACAGGCTCTCACCTGCAGAGTACCTGCTGTCGCTCCTGAGAGGTGACACCGGACAGGTTCAATAATAGGAATCCCAGTCCTCATGCCTTCACCAAAGATATCCCCAAGGCCTTTTGCTGCCTGTTCTTTCTTAGGAAGTTTCTGGAGCCCACAGATGGCCTGAGAGTTCTTCTCTGTATAAGGTGACATCAGAACTCCTTGTCGACAAAAGGAGATAGCACAGCTTTGTGGAAGAAAGTTCATGTTGAGGGCACTTCCAGAGTGGCCCGGTTGGGCCCCATTCTGAAGATGGGGAGCCAGGGGGGACTGGGCATGCCTGCCGGAAGTCAACCCTGCTGGAGGCATGAGCCCCTTTCCTTCCCATGCCTCCCCTAAGGTCTTTTTCTTTTTTTCTGGGGGAGATGTTTCTTTTTTTCTTTTAATAAGTTTTTTTAATTGTGAAAATACCATACAGAGGGGTTACAGTTACATGAGCAAGGTAATGAGTACATTTCTTATCAAGCATTGTTGCCTCCTCCTTTGATTTTCCCCTACCATCCCTTCCCTCCCACCTCCTCAACTACATCCCCCACCCCCCCACCCCACCCCTGCTGAAGATGTAAAGTTCATTTTTCGACATAGCATCTTGTACATCTCATGTTGCAATGGGTCCACCTGTATCCCTATTTAAACAATTTGTTTTTTCCCTTCTCCCCTGCCCCCAAATTATACCAACAAATACAGTGAAAACAGGGGTTATACTGTGGGGGAGGAACATACAAAGCAACAAAAAAATTACCTTATAAATACATTAGAAGCAATAGCAAGAAAGAAAAAAACCATGTGTGTCCTTATCTTGCGGTTCATTTCGCCTAACATCATCTTATCTGACCTTTTCTGCTTGACTCATACATATACTAGATATTGCAAATAAAGGAAACCATGGGACCTATGTTTCTTTGGGCCTGGCTTGGAGCAATGTCATTCTTTCTGATGGAGGCATAGAATTCCATTGTGTGTATGTGTGTGTGTGTGTGTGTGTGTACATACATATATATATATATATATATATATATATATATATATATACCACATTTTCTTGATCCATTCATCTACTGAGGGGCAAGGTCTTTTTCTGAGCAGGAACTTATGCTGCAGTTTCTCCTCTTGCTATTCTATTGGTAAATGTCCTAAAGAGGAACTGTTTGCTTTTTACTGAAACACAGAGTTATTGAAGGAGCCAAAATTAATATTTAAAATGAAAATATAAATGAGTCAATATACTAACTCAGCAAAGAGTAGGTGCATCAAGAAACTCTGAAGAAAACTTGAGAAGCAAAATATATAGAGCTCACAAATGGAAGAAGCTAGTTAGAGATAGAGAATTAGAGCAAAGCACTCTTGCTTATACATAAGAATACTTTCCTGAGAGCTGTACTTTTTTTTTCAGTACTGTGTTTGAACTGTGGGCCTCATATTTGCAAGGCAGGTGATCTACCACTGAGCCACGCCCCTTTCCCATAATGGGAAACTTTATACTTGTTATACTACCTATAGCAAGAATTTATATCCAGATCTTTCTGGGAACAAAAACTGAGCATAAGCCAAATGCCAATGATTGACACCTCCTAGATACACTGGAGGCTGAGATCATGGTTCAAAGCTATCCTAGGCAGTAAGTCCATAAGATTCTTATTTCCAATTAATATGCAAAAAATCCAGAAGTAGAGTTGTGGCTCAAATTGTAAAGTACTGTCCGGGAGCAATAAAGATCAGGGACATTGCCTAGGCCCTGAGTTCAAACCCCAGGACCAGCACACAATAAACAGACAAAGAGATTCATGAGTAAAACTGATGAGAAAACCAAGAAACACAAAACATTGCAAGGGACCATTTGGGACTATTTGGACAAGAAATACTGTCTATGGTAAACTTTAGCAGCTGCAAAATTTGTCCAGAGGACAACTGTTCCTCCAAATCTACCTACTGTCTCAAACTCTTCTTTCCAAGGAGAACTTGAAAAGAGAGTAAGAGAGACAGTGGGAAACCCAGTAAGAGAAATCTCAACCTGTCCTCCCTTCATTCTTCTAATTTAAGCTTCTTTGACTAAAATAAGAAAACAGCTATTAAGTTGATGGAGATCAGTGAGATTAAAGTTTCTAACCCATCTCTACTCCCTCCTATTCTTATTTAATATAGTACCACAAATGATCTCTATCCAGCCACCAAGTATGGAATCAAATTACAAACAATAATAATTCTTTAGGAAATGGGAAGACTTGGAAAAAATTATATTAAGTGAAGTAAGCCAGGCCCAAAGAAACATAGGTCCCATGGTTTCCCTTATTTGCAATAATTAGTATATGTCTAGGACAAGCAGAAAATGTCATATGACCATATAAGATGATGCTAAGTGAAATGAATCCCAAGATAGGGACACAAGTGGTTTTATCTTTGTTGCTGTTGTTTTTAATGTATTTGTAATGTACTATGTGATTTTTTGTTTCTTTTATATGTTCTTCCCCCATGGTATAACCCCTGTTTTCACTATACTTGATTCTGGTGCCCTGCGTCTTGTTTATACATTTTTCTAATTTGGGAAGGGAAAGGGAAATAACAAAATGCTGAAATAAAGATACAGGTTGACCCATTGTAACAATGAGATGTACAAGATACTATGTTGAAAATGAACTTTACAACTTGGGTGGAGGGGGGTGGGAGTTGGGGAGGTGGGAAGGGAAAGGATAGTAGGGGAAAAACAAAGGAGGGGGTAACAATGATCAATAGGAAATGTACTCATTACCTTACTCATATAACTGTAACCCCTGTGTACAGTATCTTTACAATAAAAAATATAGTTAATAAATAAAAATTAACAAAATCTTAGCCAAGTGGTTAAAAGGCAGACCATGAAAAATCAAAACTTTCTATATGAAAAAAGAAAAAAGCTATCCTATTTTATTAAATACCAAAAGATATTTTATACAATTGATAAACCTAGGTTTGTAACTCTTTGATGTATATACAAAGTGAAGATTTTAATTCCTTGTTCTTTGTAGATCAGGACTTAAACATATGTTAGAGAAAATACTTAGGCAACACCTTTAGTCAAATATTATTTTGTATCTGCATATGTGATCACTTTTTCTAAAATCTCTAATGATCCCTCAAGTGAAAATGTTTGACTTTAGAATTTTATTCTTGGTAGCGCTGCTTCACATTTATGGACCGAGGGTTTGTGTTCAGGATGGTCAACAATTACGTCAGCATGTTCTCCTCTGGTGAGCTCAAGGTAAGAACCTAGGCTGGAGAGTGTGTTTGAAAAACACCTGCATCATCAATAAGTAAACTGGTATCCAAGTATAAAACACTGACCAAAGACATCACTTCTTTCCTGTATCAGAAAATGATGGCTACACTCAGAAGACATAGCCACAGCCTTTCAAATGCTGTTTATTAAGCTTGTCTCCCAAGTACTTCCTTAATGGAGGATAAAGATGAGCGGAGTGCGTACATTTCACCTCTAGCTCCTGTGGTGAAAGGGCACTCTTTCATGTGCGGTTCCTGCAGATCCTACAGTCTTGGAGGCCCACGGCTGATATGGTTTCTGTACCTGGAATCTGCTTCCCTGAAAACCATTAAGTCCTGGACACAATGCACGGCCCATTTGGGTTGATTATCCTACCCTCTCTGGGTTATGGAGAAGGAACTTTAGAATTCTCCAAGTGTGGTTCCAAGACCACTGAGACAGCGTGAGACATGCTCATACACACATTTGAAGGAAATTTTCAGTTGATCTTCATGAAGTCTTACGTTTGAGAACCATGGAGCCACAGCACAGCACAACTGGAGAAAGTAAGATCAGAAGTGAGCTGGATCAGCAAAGTTCCATGAAGGTTTCTTGGGTTGCAAGTAACAGAAATTGAGTCTAATTGGACCAAAAGTGAATTTATTGGAAGGGTTCTAGGAGTGAATTCCAATGACAGCATCTAGAAAAGCAGGCTTTGAGAGGAACAAGGGACCAAGCCTTTGAGAGCAGAGGCACAGTCATAAATGGTGGGTCGTTTGGCCAGCTTCCTGCTACGACGGCTAGTTAATCAACTGGAGCCATTTGCCTTTTTCACCATTCTGCTTCAGATTCACATTGCATAGTGGCAGTATGTAATCTGCCTGTCTGTATCTCACACCTGCTTCTTAAAGAAGGGAGGCAGAGCACCTGAATTCATAGTTGTTCATTAACCTTTCCTCATTGGAAAGAAGTGAATTCCCCAGGGGAAATCATTGCACTGTGGGGAAAGAAGAACAGATATTTTAAAAGGCCAAAAGTAAAAACAAATGACATTTTTAAGTCTTTTTTGTCATTCTTAGGGACCTATGCATTATTTTAAGTAATATGTACTTTTGACCACTAGAGTTACATGATTACATGCCATTTGGCTTTGAATGTCCAATTCTCTCTCTGAGTATTCCTAGAAAGGATATATTTATATGTACTCCTATGATACACGAAACTTACAAAATGTTGTTTCAATATTGCAGTAGATTGAAGTTCTATATCTTTCTAAAGATCAAACTAAATGTTCTCCATGAATAATACTTCACATACACAATTCACTTATACACCTGCTCACTTGGATGTACAATAGGTTAGGTCATACACTGCCTTTGTTTGAAATGGCAATATTTTACAAGCATCCAAGTAAACACATGAGTTTTGTGAGCTGATATTAGTAAAGATAGTAATGAAAATCTAATTTAGTTGTAAAGAATGAGGACAGAGTAGACGTGAGAACCAAAACCAGAGCAGAAATGAAGGTGTTGCTTGTACTGGGAACACACACAGCTCACACACATGTGTTAAGGCCACCTCAGACCAGATCAGACTCCATTTTTCACTGTCCAACGCCAAACATTATTGAAACAACAGAGAGTCTTACATGAGTCGGGACGAGAGGAGAATTCAATAATTTATTGAAATCAAGCGGCATGTCAGGTTTCATGCCATTTTACAGCCGCTACATCGCTCTTTCACTGAACTCCACACATGCACTGCTCATTGTAGCTTTCTGCCTGTTTAATTCAAATGTCATTATAGAGAAAATTCTGTACCTGTCATTCAGAAGGACTTTTCTCACCCCTCATGAATGACCAATCCCTGAAGACACAGAGTCTGACTGCAATACCCCCCTTAGAGAGGGCAGATGACTTTAGACAGAACAATTACTTGGTGGTCACAAAATTAACTACCCTTCTTGAGAGCTCACATTCAAGTGCAGATTTTTCTGTTTGTATTTGATCCACTTCCTTGATGTATAAAAAATAGTCACTCAGTTTGACTCTCTTTCAGACTTTATGCCAATATAAGTTTGATTTTCTTCAAGAAGTGTGCCAACATGAGCACTTCATTCCTCTGTGTCTTCCCATAAGATCTGCATACATTCCAGGTAAGGTTCCCTCAGTTCCTCTAAATCCAGCACTTTGCAGTTACTGCTTTGCTTTATCCTCAACCTTAGTTTTATCCAAAGAGCCGAGTGATCTGGTTACAGTGCAAAAAAAAAAAAAATGTTGGCAAATAGTTGACAAGAAACAACTCTTTTCTTCTCAATTATTGTAGCTTCTTCCCTTGCCATCGAAGAAGAGTCAATCGAATTACAAACCTGAGGACTGGAAATCAGACTTTGAACTTGTCTTTCACCTAACTAGGTCCAAAACATAGCTCTCTATTGAAAATTATGGAAAGAAAAATAACAATACTTTGCGCATAGAATGTCATTTGAATGTCACTGTATGTAGTTATGTTAAGATAAAATTTTACAGAGAAAATTAATGTGTTGGAAAGAAGGGAAACGCAGCATTATAAAGCAGTGCTAGGCCAGAGAAGGGAAGAGATTGGGTGCACAGTGAAGAATAGTTTGGATTTTGCTTACATAAAGAGTCTATAGGAATATTCTAATTTTCCCAATTGAAAACATTTTTGCATGTGCATAGTATGCATGCTATATTTGTGTGATATGTGTACTTCGTAGTTTGTGGTATGTGGTGTGTGTGTGATGTATTTGGTGTATATTTTGTGTGGTGTATGTGAGGTACGTGTAGTCTGTGTTGTTATGTGCTGTGTATGGTGTGTATATAATGTATGGTATGTGTGTATAGTGTATGGTGATTGCATAATGTGTGTTTGTGGTGTGGTGTGTGTATGTGTGTATAAAATCATGGTAGAAAATGAGTACATTCATTTAAATACCAGATTAACCAAACATGAAGACACAAGAGAATCTTCTGATTGAAGAACTTGAAATGCTTTGCTTCTCAGCAGCAAGTAATCTATTCCCAAGCTGCAATACTGATATTCGCCAAGCAGAGCCCAAGATGATAGTGTACTTAAACCTAATATAGCTTTACTGATATTATAGAAGGAAAATTACATTATCAAGCCCATAAATGTTTTGGCACATAAACTGTAATTATAATCAATATACATTAGCCCGTTCTTTTTCTAATAATATGAAGCACACTGAACAGAAGAAAGGGTCAAAATAATAGCATTTTTCATTTCTTGGTATCATTTTCACTTATGTTCCCCTCATACTGGGATTTGAACTCAGGACTTCATGCTTACTATGCAAGTGTTCCACCACTTGATCCAATTCCCCCAGCTCTTTTTGCTTTCATTATAAGGACTCATTTGTCCCGGGACGATCCTGGGACCATGTTCCTCCTACCTGTTCCCTTTTCTTAAGTAGAATGAGAAGCATGTTCCCAGTAACTTTTGGTCTCTTCCGGCCATGACAATGATCCTCCAAATCTCTATATCCTGAGTAGCTTGGATTACAGGTGTGCATTAGTGTACCCAAATTAGATGCTTAATTTTTTTAAGCTGGGGTATAACCGTGATAGAACACTTGCTAAGCATGATGAGGCTCTGGGTTCCAGCTACAACACTGCAGATTTTTGTGTTTTTATTTTATACATTAGTGTGAAATTATTACTGGTTACCTAACCTGGCTAAGATGTACACAGACATTTTGGAGGAGCAAACTCCTTTTTAAGCCTGATACTGTAAATAGTAACTGTATACACAAATTATTGATGAGAAAATAGGCATTCAAATAGACTAGCAATTCAAATAACTCTATTCATAGCATGAAATTAGCAACTAACATGTTCTCCTTGAAAAAGCTGTACTGAAAAGACTCACTTGTAATTTTTTAATGCGTTGAATTTTTCAGGATATATTACACATAGCTAGTATATAGATATACACCCATGCACATATGTATCTGACTGTGTACATATATGAACTTTTTGTTTATTTGTATTAACTCTAGATCCTGTGACACCTTCAGAATCAATTCAGGAGTTACATGCCTCAGGTAATTATCTTATCTCAAAAAGCATCAATAGAGCTGGCTCAGTGGGTAAAGCACCTGTCTAGTAAGCAGGAGAACCAGAATTCAAATCCTATTGCCAATAATGCACCAATAATCACATCTTATATCAATTAGTATGAATACTATAGATTTCAGGCTTCAAGTAGTAATAAAAGCTTTTTAATGCTGTGTAAGTAAGGTTATTCAAAAAATTGTCTTTTGGGGCTGTGAAGGTGGCTCAGCGATAGAGCACTCGCTTTGCATGCATGAGGCCCTGGGTTCGATTCCTCAGCACCACAGAAGCAGAAAAGGCCAGAAATGGTGCTATGGCTCAAGTGGTAGAACGCTAGCCTTGAGCTGAAGAGTTGAGGAACAGTGTTCAGGCCCCACGACTGACAAAAAAAGTTATCTTTTCCTTTGTTATGGATAATTTGACCATATTCTAACTTTAATTCTTTTATACTTTATACTCCAGAGGGAAAATTATTTTTCAGCTTCCCAGTCCATCTGAAATTTCTTAGTGTTTATTATTAATAATATATATAGTTATATTGAACAAGCAGGTGCATGTTGTGTACATTGTATATATGGTATTTTACACTACATTATTACTAACTATGGTTACTGTGTCATATATCGATCTCCATAATTTATCCACCTTATTACTGAAAGTTGCACCCTTCACCAAAATCCCATTGGTCGTATACGTACCACACGCACAATAAAGGGCAACTACTTTTCTATACTCTGCTTGTACGAGCTCAGCCTTTGCAAATTCCACTCATACATGAGAGACAGCATGCATAGTATTTTCTTAATCTTCACTTAGCATGTTCTCTGGTTTTATTCATGTTCTTGAGAATGGTGGCTTTGCCCTTTTTCTAAACAGTGAACAATACTACCATGTATGTTTTCTCATTCACTCACCTGTGGATGGTTGTTTAGGTTATTTTTATCACCTATCTACTGTAACTAAATCTCCAAACATTGGAACACAGAAGTTTGTACCTTGCCTTCACTGTCTTACCTGCTCCCTTATGTATCTGTACTTACAAACTCTTAGCTTCCTTAAAAGCTCCGCCCACTATTTCCCTCCTGTAATATTCACTGCTTCTTATCAACGACATGCAGTGATTTTTTCCCCACCCCATGTAATGCTGTAAACATGGTCTTTTTAGGGAATGTAGCCATTGATAAAATATACTAGCTTGTATTCATATTTCTGTTTCCAGACTCAATGTTCTCCTGTATTGTCAAACACAACCAAAGGGGACAAGTGGTCTCTTTTCTGTACCAAGGCTGCATTTTTGAATCACTCTTTCTGGTGGGAAGGGTTGATAGGAGTTGTCTGATTTTTTTCTATTGCAATTCTAAAGTGATTGCTTCATTTGCGGAAACCTAATTCCTTTCCTTACAAAGACATGCCCGAATATTCAGTCACCAATGAATTTTGCCGCAAACACTTCTTAATTGGAATTCTGCTTCGAGAAGTTGGCTTTGCCCTGCAGGAAGACCAAGACGTCAGGCACTTAGCTTTAGCTGTCCTCAAAAATCTGATGGCTAAGCATTCATTTGATGATCGATACAGAGAACCAGTAAGTGATTTTCATTTCTGCCTGCCCTAAGCACTGTTCAGTGGCTCACTGCAGTCAGTGCAAATAAACCTGATAAGCTTATGGATTTTCACGTGAATCATTTCTTTTGGCTACCTTGTTCATGTAGAGAAAACAGGCCCAGATTGCAAGTCTGTACATGCCTCTGTATGGCATGCTTCTGGACAACATGCCCAGGATTTACCTAAAGGACCTGTATCCTTTTACGATCAACACATCCAATCAGGTATGTTGGCATCACTAAAATCTCTGTATTTAATAAAGAATTTATCTCTTCTCTTTATGTGTGTGCCCTGGCTAACTATATCTTCCCATCTGTGAGCAAGCTAGGAAGAAAACAGCACTTGATATGAGGTATAACAGCAACGACCACTCCAGACTTGCCCCTGGTCCTACTTTTCAGCCTTGCATTTCTGTTTGCCTCATTCTCACCTTCCCCTTCCAATTCTTTACAGCTGCATATAGGCATCTCAGCCTTTGGCTCAGGGTACATATTTTCCCTGCCTTTTTCCCTGATGTTTTTATACCATAAGGATTCTGTGTAGCCAAGTGCCTTACTTCTAGACACAGACCCAAAGTGGCCTATTATTCATTACCCTCCTCTTTTGAGCCATTGCAGTAATTCCATAGCAGCCTTCCAGAGAGCCATTAACCCATATGACAGCTAGACGGTGAACATACTTCTGAATCTGGAGATAGTATAAATAGAACCACTGGAAATTTAGGGCCACATGGTTTGGAATTTTTCTTTTTTTTTTAGTAGGAAACCATGTTTAGCTTGCAGTAATCTAAACAATCAATAAATTATCCAATTCCTCCAGCCGCTATTTCTTTATTTATAAAATGGGATTTTAAAATGCCAACATTACAAAGTCTATGTGAGGATAAAGTTGCACAACAGAAATAATTACCATAGAGCCCACCATGTAATAAGTAATTAAAATGGTATGCATAAGGTCGTCCAGATAACGTATAGAAAATAATCCCTAACTCAGTCAGTATTTATTCCAGCCATTTAGTCTATATCTAAAAGATTGCTTCTACTATATTGATTTTAAAAAATGCATAAGAAAATTGTTGCAACTAAGTACTATTTTGAGTATATTCATTTTCACTGCCTTCTTTGGCAGAAAACCTTAGCTAGAAAATAAAAGATTTAACTTAAAATATGATCAGATTGAATGTGTAATAAGAAGGCCCAGGTGAGCATACAAGGCTGAAATATCCTGACTCCCGTTCATCTCTTCTATACTTGAATACAGGGCTCTAGAGATGACCTAAGTACCAATGGAGGCTTTCAAACCCAGACATCTATGAAGCATGCAACATCTGTGGATACATCATTTTCTAAAGATGTCTTAAATTCCATAGCAGGTACCCAAGAAGTCTGAGAACACTTGTCTTTCACAATCATCCATGTTCATGTTGAATGTAAATGCACTTTACACACAAGCCATACATAACTCAAGTGCATAATACATCTGCCAAAGCATACTATGGTTAAACAACTGGCATCTATTTTATATATATATATATATATATGTATGTATAAATGTAGATATATATATATCTTTGAATGCCATCCAATGACTTTGTCTAGTAAGTGTTCATTTCTACTTGGCTTAAGCCAAATGTTCTGCTCAGATGTTATCAAATTACTTCATCCTGCAAAGTCTTTTAACTTAGCATTGCATTCAGCCTTTTAAAATATAATAGCTCAACAGTTTCGAAGATTATTTTTAAGAACTGTGTAGAAAGTGTCATTTTAATTTCTCAAGAACTGTCAAAAATTGAACACTCTTTCCTCAGAATTATCTTTATAAGCTTTTATTAAAGCATTTTAAAAAATCAAGAACTCTCTTTGTATTTACAAAAGCTTTTGACAGATCAAAGCAATGAGCTTTATTTATTACCACTTATAAAGGTTTTTAATTTTTCTCCATTCTTAGTGAGCTCTATAATACTTTAAATGTTGCATATCTTTTTGTTTTGGTTATTGTTGTTTTGTACTGTGGTTTAAATTCAAGTCTTCTGCTCTCGTTTGGCATTTTTGCTCAAGCCTGGAACACTAGTCCTTAAGCAACACAGCTCTACTTCTAGCTTTTTGCTGATTAATTGAGATAAAACTCTCATGGGCTTTTCTATCTGGTCTGGCTTCACACCATGATCCTCAGATCTCAGCCCCCTGAGTAGCTAGGATTACAAGTGTGAGCCACTGAGTCCTGGCTAAAATGTCGCATAGCTTTGCTGCCAATCCCAGACAAGGTTTCATAACACAGTGCCCACATCAACACTCATACATCTTTTTGGTTCACCATAGTAGCTTATTTGGTTTTGGTACCCATCCATCTCATTGCCATTCGTGTGCTGTGGCTTGTGTTTGCAGCATTTTCATCCATAGCTATTTCTACAGTAAACCACGCTGATTCCAGAGCATCGTTAGCAAGTCTTGACTCCAACCCAAGCACCAATGAGAAGAGCAGTGACAAGATGGATAACTGTGAGAAGGTACCGCTTCCCTTCCCAGCCTGCTCATCTTCAGAACCACCAGCCAGACATCCTCCAGCCTCACTGGGTCTTCATGGGCTTTCTATTTCTCAGATCCCCAGGCCTTTGTCTCTGATTGGGTCAACACTTCGATTTGACAAGTTAGATCAAGCAGAAACCAGGAGTCTTCTTATGTGTTTTCTCCACATTATGAAAACAATTTCAGATGGTAATGAGAACTGGCTCAAATTCAATTTACAATGAGGGAAAGAAAATTCTGCATTTCCAAGGTCCTCATGGAATATGTCGTTTCCTTCTAGAGACACTGATTGCGTACTGGCAGAGAGCACCCAGCCCAGAGGTGTCAGACTTCTTCAGCATCCTAGAGTAAGTTTGACAGCACTTCCCTGAATCTTTCCAATAGTTCTTTGTCCATCATTGGCTCAAGAATTGCTATGGCAGTGGGTACTGATAGTTCACACCTGTAATGACAGCTATTCAGAAGTCTGAGCTCTAGGGATTGAGGTTTGAAGCTACCCTGGGTAGAAAAGTCCAATTAACCCCCAAAAAGCTGAAAGTAGAACCATGGCTCAAGCCATGGTTTTCGCTCAGCCTTGAGTGAAAAAACGAACTGAAATTGAGAAACCCTGAGTTCAGACTTCAGCACCAGCACACACAAAAAAGGAGAATCTCTATGGCAAATTATCAATCAGTAATGATTCACAAGATATGTAAAGAGATTTTTAATACTTTTTTCAATGTAATTAGATAAAGTTATGTATTTTTTAAAAAGAGAAATGTAAATAATTAGCATGTAACTTTTTCTTTCCTTTCTAGTGTTTGTCTTCAAAATTTCAGATACCTAGGAAAACGCAATATAATAAGGTATTCTTTTATATTCTAAACAGTTGATATGGTCTTTTTAAAAGCACTATGAAGGGTGGGCACTGGCAGCTTATGCTTGTAATCTTAGCTACTCAAGAAATTGTGGTTTGAAGTATTGAGATTCAAAACCAACTAAGGCAGAAAGTCAGAGAGTTTCCATATCCAATTTGCCAGCAAATGACCATACTGGAAGTGAGGTTCAAGTAGTTGAAACCAACCAAGCAAGTCCAAGGCACTGAGTTTAAAGAACTGACATACACTAATGGGTCAGGTTACACTTAGAAGTATCTACTAGGAATAACAGTATAAAATGAGGACTGTTAGGTATTATTTACATTAGACATAAAGGCAGAAGTTTGAAGATTGCCCAGTACTCACAGAATATTGATGTTCAATAGAATATTGAATGTTCATAGAATAAAAGCACCAAAACATACTTTTTAAAGAAGGAATCGCATTTCATGTGCTGTCTGAACCATGACGTGCAATTACTTATAGATCTGGAATGTGGAAAATGCCTACTTAAGAAAATATTTCCTATAAAAATGAAAATAAGAGTTAATCTGGAATAATTTATTCTGTCACTATTTTCCCACAAAGACAAGAAAGTCCACAGCACCCCATTCTTTTATTTCCAGAAGAAATTGAAATTTGACTTTTTACTAAGTCACCGCTTATAAAATATTTCATTCTTGAGGAATTCCTTTGCCAGTTGACAATGTATGTGGCTTTAGCTATAAATTGTAAATTCGAGTTGTGACTAAAGCTTCAGCTTTCCTTACAGGAAAATAGCTGCTGCATTTAAATTTGTGCAGTCAACCCAGAGCAATGGAACCCTGAAAGGATCCAACCCTTCCTGCCAGACATCGGGACTGTTGTCACAATGGTAAGGGAATGTTTGCTTGGTATTAAGTGTGTGCATGTGTGCGTGTGTGTGTACATGTGTGTTTGTGTGTTCAGGTATATGTGAGATGTGAAGAGTGGATATACAGATCATTCTCCTCTCCTCCTCCTCCTCCTCCTCCTCCTCCTCTTTCAACTTTTCCCTGCCTTCCTCCCTCTGTCTCCCTATTTCTCTTTCCTCTCTTTCTCCTTCTTTTCTTCCCCTTGTCTCTGTCTTCCTCCTTTCCTCTTTCTTTCTCTCTCTTTCACATACACACATTTCAGAACAACTGAAATTGCAAGTCACTTCTGAAGAAACCTAAAACTTACAATACTTCACTAGCTTATAAAACCAAAAATCCAGGGATTGTGTCTCAATGCTGTGCATGTGGAGCTCAGGGCCTTGCATAGAAGAAGCAGTAATAAGTATTTAGATTTGACTGAAGCTGAAAGGTACACATAAATGCTTTTTCTAACACTTACGAATCTCCTAGCAACAAACCAAAATTTGAGTTCATGTCTCTATATTCTTCTCAGTAATTATAATATTTTAGGAATAATCTTTTTTTTTTGGTCCGGTCATGGGGCCTGAACTCTGGGCCTGGGCGCTGTCCCTCAGCTCTTCAGCTCAAGGCTAGCGTTCTACCACTTGAGGCACATCGCGACTCCCGGCTTTTTTCTTTTTGCTTATGTGATGCTGAGGAATCGAACCCAGGGCCTCATGCACGCAAGGCAAGCACTCTACCACTGAGCCACCTTCCCAGCCCCAATATTTTAGGAATAATCTTAAAGCTAAACTTGTTTCCTCAAGGGTCAAAAGTAATGAGGAAACTCTCTGTAGAATTCCCAGTCATGAGGCCTGTGGCCATCCTTGACTAGCCTGCCGACTGAGAAACGTTTGTCCTGGAATTCTACCTCAGAGCTCCCCTGGGACTAATAAATAAGAATTGTTTGCTCAAATTTTCCCCAGTTTGAATTATTCTTCTCAGAGCCAGTATAATAGTATACAATATGAATAGTTTAGAACGTTCAAGAAAGAAATGTGTGCATGGCATAGTCAATAAATCATAGAATACATGTTACCTCCATCCTGAGGAACCTTTTGACGTTGACCTCTGGTGAGGAAGTAATTTTTTTAATGGGATGGGTATGTTTTCCAAATAGCAATAGGAGGAAGGACAGTGAAAAAATGCTTTTCATGTATAAGAATAATAGCTACCCTCCTATAGTCACTGCAGCCCGTGGATGTTTTGCGGGCTCCATTTCAGATTCCTCTAAAATGGGTGGAGGTGTCTTGCTCCTGCTCACCCCATTTCCTGGAAATCAGGGTTTTTTTCTTCATGAGTTCCAGGGTGACAAAAATCTAAAACCCTAGAGGAGTAATGAAAAGTCCCAAAAGTCAATCCCTAATGCCAGAAGCTGTATTGCTTGTGGTTTAAGGAAGAGTGCAAACTTGCTGGGCTACTGAAAGGCAAAGTCAGATCTCCTAGGCTGCTCCAGACACTTTGATGTAGCCAGAACAAAAGAGGCTCAGGAATGTGACAGGGAAAGCTGTAGCCTCTTTTTCAGATGTGCTTCTTAAGAGCATCGCCATCAGCTGCTTTCTTCATAGAAGTGTGTTTATGAATGATTTATATGTAAGCAAATGCCCTCAAAATCACCAATCTGTACCTTGCTGGAAGAGTAAACAAGAATTTCTTACTCCATAAGGACATTGGCTGATTTTCCATCATGAGGCATTGAAGGAAGGCATTGTGGGCCATTATCAGTATCCTTGGAGAAAATCAATTAGGGGGACAGAGGACACCCCAATACCTACCTTTGTCACAATGATCATACATCTGTTCCCTTGGATTTGGCCAAGCTGATGATAACCACATTCGGTGTCCAAGACAAAGAGAGAGAGGTGCAAGGTTGTTTTAAGCCAGATTTTACATTTCACCTCTTTAAAAAACAAAATTGACATGTCCCCCAGTTGCCTTCCTGATAGGCCAATAGCTAATTCAACATAGGTCAGAGCTATATAGTATTATAATTTAAACATCTACCAACTGCCTTTATGATAGGCCAATAACTAATTCAACACCAATGAAATACTGTGATTCATTAAGTAATAATGAATTGTGAACAGATTTAATTTGAATGACTGCTATTCTATTACCCTTCTGATTGTTACTACACTAGTGTTAGTGCTAAGTAAATATATCCAAGTATTTGAAAGTATCTTTCATTCTATTAACCTATAATTAATGCTTTTAAAGAGTCTGTGCAATTTTTTATATTTGATTTAGCTTAGAATATTTAGTCAAAGTTTCTTCAAATAACATGAACCTTTATTCTTTCTTAATTTCCAGGATGCATACCACATCCGGTCATGAAGGGCATAAACAGCACAGATCACAAACCTTACCTATAATTCGAGGCAAAAATGCTCTTTCCAACCCCAAACTTTTGCAGATGTTAGACAATACCATGACCAGTAAGTAAACCAGAAATAATAAGAACATGATGGTTACTCATCGTTTTCTGGGTATGAGCAGGACATAAAATGCATTACAATGCTTCAGAAATAGAAAGAACATTGGGCCAGGAAAAGCATTGTTCTCAAGTTTGTTGACACCCTGGAAATGTTTCTTGAGAGTCAACGATCTCCAGGGGACAGCTGGGAGAAATGCAGAGCCCTTGTGAGGAAGGAAAGAGGAAAGGAAAACCTCTCCCGCAGTGGACTCAGTAGCTTCTCTGGAAACAAGTGTTGTGTGAGGGGGTGCAGGCCTGACTCAACCAAGGTACTACCATTCATTCTGCAAGAAAGGAACATTTTCCATGTCCCAGAATCAGAAAGCTTGGCATTGAATCCAGATGCTGATGTGCTAGCTTATCCATGGGAAAGAAACAGAATCTGGCATTGCATAGCTTGCCAATGTAGCAATCGTGGGTATGTGGCCCTCCGTGGCTTGTTAGATGCTATCTGCTCTAACCTATAAACACATGGTGTGCCTTCTTAAGGGAGAGTTTGTGTAGACTGTCCACTGAAACTGTGTGTTTTACCTGTAAACCCAGAAGCATAAGCCTTTGATATCCCTGTGGATAGTTGCATTAATAGAAAAAGAACTAAGAAATAATGGTAACACTGCAACTGACATATGCAAAGCAACCACCTGCTAAAGACTTTGCTATTTTTTCATTCTGCCAACAAGGAAATTAAATGAACAGAAGCACTTTGGTTTAATCAATGATTGATCAAAGTATCAGTACACATAGAATGTATTATAGTAGAATAAAATCCTTTGTAAGTTACCAGGAAATTAGTTGGCATTTGTTCATTGTTTTATGATTCATTTTCCAGGCAACTCCAATGAAATCGACATTGTGCACCACGTGGACACCGAGGCCAATATTGCCACCGAGGTTTGCCTTACAATCCTAGACCTGCTCACCCTCTTCACCCAGGTCCACCAGGTGAGTAGGAGCTGAACCGTTCCTGTGAACTGCAGCATCAGAAGTAGAAACTGTGGTGTGATTGCAAAGCATCGGTTTCAGAGGATTGATGAAATCAAGCAACCTGAAGTAAATTAACTTTCACATCTGTGGGAAACATTTTAGAGATGAGATTCAGGTTTCATCACAAGTCAATTAGTGCTTCTTCACCTATGTGCTTTACTGAAATCAAAGACTATTCTTGCTGTGTGCTGGTGGCTCACACTTGTAATCCGGGCTACTCAAGAGGCTGAGATCTAAGGATCACTGTTCAAAACCAGCCAGGGCAGACAAATTTGAGATACTCATCTTCAGTTAACCATCCAAAATCCAGTGGTGGTAGAGGGTTTTGAATGATGAAACCAAGCCAGAGTAGGAAACAGACTTCAAACACACACGCAGGCGCAGGCGCTCATGCACACACACACACACACACACACACACACACGCAAACTTACACACAATCCTAATTTCTCTTACTTTATTTTCAGGTATGCTGGACTGAATAAGAACATGACTCTATTTTCCAGTAGAAAATGGAAAGACACATGAGACTATATGTTAAATTTACTAATAGATTGTTAAAAAATCAAATTCACTGCCAGCCTCCAGTGGCTTATGCCTGTAATCCTAGCTACTCAGGAGACTGAGATCTGAGGATTACCATTCAAAGCCAGCCCAGTCAGGAAAGTCCATGAGACTCTTATCTCCACTAACTCCCCAAAAGACCAGAAGTGGAGCTGTGGCTCAAATGATAAAGTGCAACCTTGTGCAAAAGCTCAGGGACACCACCCAGTCCTTGAGTTCAAGCTCCAGAACTGACACAAAGAAAAATCAAATTTACTAACTTTGAACACTTTTGTCTGCTTATTTGTATGTATATACCTTTGATGGAGTGATTTCATGTAATAAAATACGAATCATATACTTTAAAAATGAACAATGTATTATCTACTTCGGTAATGCTATCAAAAGCATCTGTAGCACAACCAAACAAACCTACAATAAGGAATGAGCCAGGAGAGTTGACTCATGGTGCCGAGAGCCCTTGTTTTCTAGATGAAAACTCAACACAGCTGTAGAAAGGGCACAGCTATATTTTAGTTTTTTATTGCTCACTGGGTATGTGGCTCCAATGTGACCCAGTACCTACCAACCCCACTTATCGGTGACTCCATCCTCCAGTTCTCTCCTAAGCTCATTCCACTTACCCTCTACCAGCTACTCTTGTCTCTCAACCTTGAACTCAAGTTTCTTTCCAACCTGAGGTTGATGTAATATCTGCCCTCCATCTTCAGACATGGCTCCTGGATCTCTCTAAGGCCAATTCCTTCTATATAAGTGGAGTCATTCGGTACATCCCATTTTGTGTTGGGTTTCAGTCCATCTGACCACTTTATCAAAGCAGTCCACGCCCATACCAATTTCTTCCCAGTGCAGCATCGTACTCTATTATGTGATTTGCTTTGCTCAGTCAGCCCTATGTAAGTTTCACTGGGAATGTGGACCTTCTTTTGTTACAGCATTTTTTCCAGCACCCTTGATTGTACCATATTATAGGTTTCCAATAAATATTTCTGAGGGAATGTTGTCTTTCACTTGTTCTAAATAACATGAAAATGCTGATTTCCAGAGACAGCTCCAGCAATCGGAATGTCAAAATTCACTTGTGAAAAGGGTCTTCGACACCTACATGCTCTTTTTCCAAGTCAACCAGTCGGCTGCAGCGCTGAAGCACGTGTTTGCCTCTTTGAGACTGTTTGTATGCAAGGTGAGACCCTTCTGCCCCTGTGAAAATGCAGTTAAAAATGCTAGTCAAGGTTCAGCAGGTTGCATCTCCTCAAGTGGGCAAGAGTACAGGTTTGCTTTGGGGGGTTTTTGTTTGTTTTTCCTTTTTCGTTTTACTACATGGTTCCTGATCTCAAAATGAGTTGACTTTCTGACTCTATGGATAATAAAAGGAAATAAAATTAGAATCTGATCATTAATCCTTTGGATTCTCAGTTTTTTAAAATTTATTGTAAAGGTGATGAACAGAGGGTTTACAGTTACATTAGTAAGGTAAGCAGTGTTAGTAAGCAGTGTTACCCCCTCCCTCATTTTCACCCACTTACCACTCCCTTCTCTCCTTCCCCCCAAGTTGTAAAGTTCATTTCCAACATAGTGTCTAGTGAGTATTGTTGCATTAGTTCATCCTTTGCCCTGCTGTTTCTGTGATTAATTTTCCCTTCCATGGATCAGATGAGCTTATATACAAGACCAAGGGTATAGAAAACTAAAACAGACAGAAAAAATAGAAATAACTACACAGAGAACATAATTAGAACCTCTTGTTTCCAATTCTTGGAGTTCATGTTGATATGCTTCATTATATATGGTCCGATCAACTTGGTGATTGGGCTATTGCAATGTCCTGCTAAGAATATCATAGACATATTCAAGTTATGAGGACTACCATGAAACTTAAATTTCTTTGGGCTTGCTTCACTTAATATAATTTTTTCCAGGTCTTTCCATTTCCTTACAAATGCGACAATGTCATTCTTTCTGATGGAAGCTTTGAACTCCATTGTGTATATACACCACATCTTCTTGACCCATTCATCTACTGAGAGGCATCTGGGTTGGTTCCATATCTTAGCTGTGAACATGCTGCAGTGAACATGGTTGAGCTGGTAGCTTTAGTATGGCCTTGTTTGTGGCCATTTGGGTAAATGGCCAGGAGTGGAATTGCTGGGTCATAGGGGAGCTCTATGTTTAGTCTTCTGGGGAACCTCCACACTGCTTTCCAGAGTGGTTGAATGAGTTTACACTCCCACCAACAGTGGGAGCATTCCCTTTTGGCCACATCCCTGCCAGCATCTGTTATTAGATTTATTGATAATGGCCATTCTAAAACTTAGGTAATATTTGTACCTTCAAATCTACCTACATTAAGTGTAAGGTTCTACATTAGAGTAGTCATATCTACCACCTCTGAACACAAACTGTGAATAACACCTGGACTTGAACAATGTCAGGTGAATAGAGGACATTGAGAGGCCCTCATTCAGATATTTTTGTATTGCCATCAGTTATGGATGAAAGGGGAGAGAATTATTTCTAGGAAGGAAAAAGAATACTAAACCTAGATTTTAACATCATCAGCCCTCACAAATGGAGAAAGAGTAATTTTTGGAATATGCGAAACAGAGCAAAATGAGGGAACATTCACTCCACCCATTCCTACATTTCTCCAGTTTCCTTCAGCCTTCTTCCAAGGCCCTGCCGACCTCTGTGGATCTTTCTGCTATGAAGTCCTCAAATGCTGTAACCACAGGTCACGCTCAACTCAGACTGAAGCTTCAGCCCTTTTATACTTCTTCATGAGGAAGAATTTTGAATTTAACAAACAGAAGTCAATTGTCAGGTCCCATTTACAAGTAAGTGCTACCAGTGGTTATTAATGCTATTGTTGAAACTGCTGATTGGTTTGAGCAGCAGTTAAAGCCCCAGGTCCTCCAGTTACCAACTCCTCTACCAGACTCCTCCTGAAGAGTGCCCATCACACTCATCGCCTACCTATAGGAGCGTACTGCCGAACACAGGTCAGTAGGGCCCCTCATATCTCCACTTGTAATTTTTTTCCTTCTTCCAGAAATAAAATCTCACAGAACAGACACTTAGTCCAAACATGGCTAACCCTAGGAGTCCAGGTCCCGCCACATTCCAAAAGCACACATTGCTTTCTCCAAGCTGGCCAGATTCTTACAGCCTTCCTTAGGTTTTTACTGTTAAGTTATGCCCTGGACGGCCTTGTTGAGACCTAATAGGTAAAGATGTTATGCGTTGGCTCTTCAGGGAGAAATTAATGGCACCTGAATGCAACCGAGTGAGTTTCTTTGGACATACGATTTTCCTTGTTCCTTGAGGAGGTTCATTTCTGCTTTTCTCTTCCAGCTCATCAAAGCAGTAAGCCAGTTAATCGCTGATGCTGGGATTGGAGGCTCCCGGTTTCAGCACTCCCTTGCGATCACCAACAACTTTGCCAATGGAGACAAGCAGATGAGAGTAAGAAGGGCTTTGTGTTCATTTTCTAAAGGATCAGGAGTAAGCCAAAGTGGATTCTTCCTCTGACATGCCAGAGATCATGAGAAGTACAGAACTTTTACACTTACCTTCTTGAGACCTGGAGCACTCAGATTTAATTCGCTTACTGAAATTCATAATCCGTAGCTTGTCGCTTTAACCAGATGATCTTTCCAAGTGAAATTTCCCAAGACATGTGGTTGAGTAATATGTAACCAGATTTACCAGAAATATCCAGAAATATATTGACTTGCTCATCACCCTTCTCATAAGCAAGTCTTTTCTTTCTTTTAGCAATCTTTGAAGACATCCCCCATTAGGGATTATACTTGCCAGTCTTGAGAAGACCTTCAATCATCACCAAGATTAAAACAATGCTTTCAGATCCCCTCCCTGTGGTGTCTCTATTTTGACTCACTATTTCTCAAATCAGCTTTCCTCATTATTTACTTCATTTACAGATTGGCTTTTCACTGTGAGGAATTATGAAGATGCTGGTAGTATCTAAAGAGTTGACAAAAAAACACTCTATTAAATAATATCTATGAGAGTCTCAGAACTCAGTTTCTTTGCTCCACCTACATAGCATAGGCCCATCCCAAGCCAATCACTATGGTCCAGAAATAAATAGATATAATTGGCTAAATGAGCACTAAATGCTAGCCAAGATTCCAAGGAATGAAGACAGTCCTTCTCAAACCTAATGAGTCAAGGTCAAGGAGGAAAAGAGATCAAGGTCAGTGAGGATGCTGTTACTAGACAAAGAATCTGCTGTAATTCTTATCACCAGATGTGTTTACATAATCATAATATATAGAGTGCACACATCTGTGAGTAATACGTAAGACAGCAAACTGATACCAAGCCATACCTCACAACATTACCTAAAGTGACCAAACGAAGTGCAAATCGATAATGACCCAAGTTGTCTCTTTCCCAAAGAACAGTAATTTCCCAGCAGAGGTGAAAGACCTAACTAAACGCATTAGGACTGTTTTGATGGCCACGGCTCAGATGAAAGAGCACGAGAAGGATCCCGAGATGCTTGTGGACCTCCAGTACAGCCTGGCAAACTCTTATGCAAGTACCCCTGAACTGCGGAGGACCTGGCTGGAAAGCATGGCCAAGATTCATGCAAGAAATGGAGACTTATCCGAGGTGAGTGATTAGATTTTTTTCACTTAGGATATGAATTATTTTCTAATATACAGGTGACCCTGTGTATTATGTCCTATAAATTTGCCTAGCCTGGATGTCTGGCTCAAATTAGATGAGATAAAATAGGAAGCAGTCTTGGTACAGGCAAGAGGACTTGTTTTAATGCAGCTCAGAGCTGAATGCTAGAAATAAGAAGCTAGCCCAGCACTGGTGGTGCATGCCTGTAATCCTGGCTCCTCAGGAGGCTGAGAGTTGAGGAGCATGGTTAGAAGCCATCCCAGACAGGAAAGACCATGAGACTGATAACTCCAACTAACTACCAAAAAGCTAGAAGTGGAGCTGTGGCTCAAGAGGAAGTGTGACAAAGCTAAACAACACACCCAGGCCATGCGTTTAAGCCTCAGAACCACAACACCACCTCCCAAATAAAAGAAGCAAGAAGGTAAAGCAGACAGTGGCATGGGTTGTATTAAGTAATGATTCTTGCTTTCAAATTTCTTCCCTGTAATGGTGGAGTGAGGAAGTTTTCTATATGGTGAATACTGCAAGCCTTAATTGGCCATGGAGAAATTAGCACACTTCATTGCCATGTGAGAAAAGTCTACTGGGTAAAGACTGAAAATCGGTACCTAAGTTTTAACACTGGGTAGATTTATAGGCAGCAGTTCATATCACCCGTGGGCTGCTGGGTTCCAAATGGAGAGATTCTTCCTGTTGCTTTCCTGGAACTCAATCCCCTTCCAGGAGAAGATTGATTGCTCTAGGAGAGTCTTAAAACTTGAAGCTCTTATGATACTCGGGGATTTGAAACAAAAGCCAGAAGCCTGGCTTGGTAAGCAATTAGGAGAGGAAGAGAATGAGGAATTCCAAGTCCTTTATTCTGAAAAGGGAAAAGATCCCTCCACAAACCTCAAAGGGAAGTATCTAAAGTTACTTGAAACAGTCAACAAGTCATGTTTTAAAGTGTTCTATGAAGTTCAAGGGTTTGGAGTAGATATTAGGGAAAAACAACCTATCACTTATGGAACCTGGTTTAGGGAAACAACATCTATTACACCAGTTCACACAACAAATGCTGACTTGTGAGGAGACCACTTTACTTTTTTAGTGTCTCTAAGTAGTTGTACAAAGGGTTTTCAGGTCAACCTGTCAGTTTATGATTACAATGCATCTTTGTCAATGTCACCCTTCCCTCATTCTCCCCCCTCCCCGCCCCATCTTTCTTACCCACCCATTCCCTCAGTTTGCATAGTTCCATTTTCACCCATGCACATTGAATATGCTGACAGTACTCAGCCCTTCCTCTTAACCCCACCCTTACCTGACAGCTCAAATTCCAGTTTCCTGGGATTCATTTTGTTAGACTGTAAGTTTGTTGTTCAAGGGAGTTACACCATTGGCATTCTGCCCTGCATATACCATACTTGAGTTAATGCATTTGTGCACCTACATGAGCCTATGTATACACATATGTATATTTTACAAATGTATTTATAAATTAGGTGTAACGTCCATGAAAACTTTCAAAGCAACTATTTCAAAAAACAAAGGAAATGCAGAAAGTTACCACCATTGGAAATAGACTTTTCTTGTCAATTTTTTTCTGATCTAAGAAGAAAAGAGACTATATATTTTTAAAATAGTCTAGGCTTGTGTCCTAAGGAAGGAAAGTGGGAAAATTCTTCAGTCCAGCTTAATCACCTGAGCATATATTAAGGAAAACCAACAAAAATCTCAGGTACACATTCTGTTCATGATGGTGGATTTTTTTAAAAATACAAGTACTTTATATTTTGCATTCTGTCATTACGATGGATTCTTCTAAATAGCATATTCTTACCTGAAATATTGATTCCTCTTGGAAGATCAATCCTAATTAGATAGAGTTTGGTCTATCTTCAGTCTTTGTTTTCTGCCTCATTACAGGCTGCTATGTGCTACATCCATATAGCCGCCCTCATTGCTGAGTACCTGAAAAGGAAAGGTAAGTGGAGCATGGGCTGGGGTAGTGTGGAACGAAGTCCAGAAATCACCCTGTGGAAACCTAATTTATGATTAATTCATTAATTTTTCATCTTATTAATCTCAGTTACTTTTATGGAGTAACATTCACTTGCACAGGTATTTCTCATTATGCTATACAATTTTTTATTGTAACTGGGCAAAATACCCTATAATCTCAGCTACTCAGGAGGTAGAGATCGGAGGATTTGAATTCGAAACCAGATTAGGCAAAAAAAAAAGTATATGAGACCTCCTATCTCAGCTAATTAAAAATAAATAAAGCTGGGCATAGCAGCAAGCTATGTCATCTCACTAAACAGGAAGCATGCATTGGAGGATTATTGTCCAAGCCAGTCCCATCATTAATGTTGAGAACCTAAAAAACCAACAGAAGCAAAAAGGGTCAGAGGCCTGGTTCAAGCAGTTGAGCACCCATCTACCAAGAACAAGGTCCTGAACTTAAACACCAATACCACCAAAGAATATCTTAATTATCATGCCATATTTACTTTTTGTGCAGCAAGGGTAAATGGATGGTCTGCTTCTTAGTTCCAAATGAGAATACCTCATTGATTAATAATTTGTACTCTCATAAGCTTTCATTAACAAAAACATGTCCTAACCTCATCTTGCACTACCATAGGTTACTGGAAAATGGAAAAGATTTGCACGTCATCCCTGGTCCCGGAGGATGCCCATCCCTGTGATAGCCACCCATTACTAACAACCCCAGGTGGAGGAAGTGAGTGATCCAGCTGTGCTACTTCACCTCTAACACATAGGAGTCACCTGACTCCTATGTGTTACACAATGCCCCGATGAAACCTTGTGTATTCTTAGAAGCCAAACTACCTCATATCTACAAAATTCCCTCTGCAAAATAAAGCCATAAGAAACTTTCATCCAATACATATAACCTTTGGAGAATGAGAATTTCTTATCAAATAGAGCTGCACACTATCTAATATTCAAGATAATGAGCTACGGCTATCAGTCTGTGTGTGAGTCTACCATGAATTTTGGTCTAAAATTGCAAAAGGAAGCCAGGCATCAGAGGCTTACCTGTAATCCTAGCTACTCAGAAAGCTAAAATCTGAGGATTGCATAACAAAGCCAGTCCGGGTAGCAAAGTCTGTAAGACTCTTACCTCCATTTAACTACCTAAAAGCTGGAAGTAGAGTTGTGGCTCAAGTGATAGAGCACTAGCCCTGTGCAAAAAAGCTCTGGAACAGAACCCAGGCCCTGAGTTTAAGTCCCAAGATGGGCACAAAAACGCAAAGATAAAAGTTACAAAGGGAGTCTTTTAATTTGTAAGTACAATAAAACTATTCAAAGTAAGAGATGTGCAAAGGGAATCAGAGATTCCAGAGATCATGGTTGACTCGTGCTGGAGCCAATATTCAGGTTTGTCACTGCAACCTGTGACCCTAATTATTCGTCCCTCACCATTCATACCTGACCCCTCCCCTCTGGGAATATTGCCTATTTTTGAATAGCTACAATTGATCAATCCATCGATAGATAGATAGATAGATAGATAGATAGATAGATAGATAGATAGATATTCATTTGAAGAATCGGGTCTTAAATTTTGATAGTCACAAGACTAAGACTATTTGAGAAGGTTTCTAGATAAGGAGGAAGATGAAAAGCAGCAAGTCCTGGGCATTGCCTTTACAACACACTGACTACACCAGATGTTTGCTCAAATATTAATGTTCTAAATCCTTTCAACATCGTTTGAGATACACATTCATGTCTCTAGTTTAACAATTATGGCAACAGGCTGAAAGAGATTACTCAAACCAGAGTTGATACAGTGTCAACCCACCAATCCTATGATCTACCTATATAATATCATACTAGATTCTTCATAGAAAATATACTACCTCCAAATGATTCAAAAATTATATATAAGGTAGGATTTAGGGCTGGAAGAGAAAATTATCAATATGCATACCCTAACCACCTTGTCACATGTGTGAGTATTATAATTTACCACTTATAACATCGTGAAGAGGTTTGTTCTAGTCCAGACAAGATTTGGCTTGAATAACATTTGATTTTCCTTGATCTGTGCAAGGTATGTTCTCTATGGGATGGCCAGCTTTTGTGAGCATCACACCAAATATTAAAGAAGAAGGAGCAATGAAAGAGGATTCAGGAATGCAAGACACACCATACAATGAGGTAAGACTAGCTGCTCTAATGTTATATAATTAAGTTTAAAAAAGATACAATGTATTTTGATATTGTATTTGTTCAGAAGTTAGATACAGTTCATCTATCTTATGACTTCATTAAAATGAAATTAAGGCAAAAGCAAAGCCAAGATTAATAGACACCAGATTCCTTTAGAAAATGATAAAAATTCTAAGCTAATTTTTATTTACTCCATTAAGATTAACCCACAAATTTATGTTCTGGATCCTTTTTACCACTACTTGTATAATATTAAGACAAAAATATATTTTTTGGGGGGTCCGGTCGTGGGGCCTGAACTCTGGGCCTGGGCACTGTCCCTTAGCTCTTCAGCTCAAGGCTAGTGCTCTACCACTTGAGCCACAGCGCCACTTCCAGCTTTTTTCTTTTTGCTTATGTGGTGCTGAAGAATCGAACCCAGGGCCTCAGGCATGCAAGGCAAGCACTCTACCACTGAGCTACCTTCCCAGCCCAAGACAAAAATATTTTATAAAATTTTTTATTCCTTGATAGAAGGAGTCACTTCTGGCTAGTTATGATAGATGCTCTAAAATGGTAAACCAAGAACTCTTTTGCAGTTGCAAATTTTTTTATGGAAGTGTTTAGAAGTGGTGTAAGTGGGGCATCATTTTGCACTGAATCTTAATATTTAGTAGGGCTTGAAGGTGTAAAATGAGTAAAGAAGGTTCTTACAGTAATAGTAATAACACAGGGGAAAACATGGCAAACAGAAAGTGTTCTAAGAATGGAGTAGAGTCAGGTGTAGCCAGAGTGTGGAGTTTTGAGTTGGAGGTGTGGCTCAGTTGGGAGAGCTCTAGCCAATGAGCAGAAGCTATAGGTACCAAGTTGAAGCCCCAGTGTGAGCTAACAAAAAACAACAGAGTGCAAAGTCAGTGGCAGATACTAATAAGGAGGTTGGGTGCTTGAGTGTGGAGACTCTGAATGCTAGGCTAGAGAGACAGGACAGCGGTGCACAGACTAGACTTCCCACAAAGACTGGTGGAGGCAGAGATCACAGTCAGACTGACATTCTAAAAGGAGAGAGAACAGCAACTGGAAAGAGAACACAGAGTCTCTAGGAAACTATCCATGTGGACCTGAGAAGAAAGTAATAGGTGACAAGAACGGAAAGAACTAGAAAGATCAGAATGCATTTCATAGATTTAAATGAGCATGTCTACCTCCAGGCACCAATAGCTCACGCCAGTCATCCTAAATACTCAGGAGACTGAGAACAGAGGATCTCATTTCAAAGCCAGCCTAGGCAAGCAAGGTCATGAGACTTTTAATTAACTGCCACAAACCCAGAAGTGGAGCTGTGGTAGAGTGCTAGCCTTGAGTAAAAAAGTTAAAAGGACAAAATCCAGGCCCTGAGTTTGAGCCCTAGTACTGGCACACACAAAAAAAAATAACATAAAATAAAAGTAACACATCTAAAACACTAATTGGGTAATGATGATGGGGGAGAGGGAGGACTCCAAAATGAGGCTGTGATCTCTTGCTGAGTTACACATTTCAGTCACAGAGAGGGAATTCAGGAATCTCCTCCAGAAAGCCTTTGCACCTGGGCTAGTTTAGAAATCCAGTCTGAGGAATGAGCTGCAGCCTGCATCCTGCATGGTCTCACATTGCCTGCTGGGTTTCAGAGCATTCTAGTGGAGCAGCTGTACATGTGTGTGGAGTTTCTCTGGAAGTCCGAGCGGTACGAACTCATCGCTGATGTCAACAAACCCATCATTGCCGTCTTCGAGAAGCAACGGGACTTCAAGGTATGCAGTCACTACCAAGAGAAGCTGCTGGAAATATCCTCCTTTACATTGGCCAACTACTTCAGAGTTTTCAAACCTAGACACTCCCTGGGTGTCCGCATCTTTGTCCTGAGCACCTTTGGTTTATGGTTGCAGAAACTGTCGGATCTGTACTATGACATCCACCGGTCCTATCTAAAAGTGGCAGAGGTGGTGAACTCAGAGAAGCGGCTGTTCGGGCGCTACTATCGTGTGGCATTTTATGGGCAGGTAAGTTCACAAGAAGTAAGGTGGCCTGTACATTCTGTTGAGTAGTTGTTGGCTTTCATTCTTCAGAAGGCATCCAATGGCTTACACCAAGAGATGAAGGGTGGTGAGTAGCTGAACATGCTTGAGTGTTTCTCTGGATGCCAGCATCTTTATGCTTGCTCATTGGAAGGCACTAAGTCAAGAAATAATAAATGTGCAGCTGAGTGCCAATGGCTCACTCACACCTGTAATCTTAGCCATTAAGGGAGGCTGAGAGCTGAAGATCCTCATTCAAAGCCAGGCTGGGTAGAAAAGTCTATGAGACTCTTATCTCGAATTAGCCACCAAAAAAAAGGCAGAAGTACAGGTATGGCTCAAGTGGTAGAGCAAAACCTTTGAATAACATAGCTAAGCAAAAGCACAAAGCTCTGAGTTCAAGCCCCACTACTAGGAAGGAAAGAAGGAAAGGAGAAGGGAGGGAGGGAACGAAAGAGGGAAGGAAGAAGAAAGAAATCCATAAGACTCAATATAAGCTGAGCCACAATGAGTTCTAACTTCTTGGAAGTGTGGATACTTATTTTTTCAGTATTCCTTCTAGTTCACCATTTTAAACCTACGAATTTGCAAACATGCCATTACTTTTTTTCCTGCTTTCTATGCAGAGCATGATGTGACTCTTCTGTTTCCTGTATTTCAAGTCAATGTAATTTTTAAATTATCTTGCTCAATTTACTGCATAAGCAGGAAACAAGAATGAAAATCTGAGCTAGCCATGGAAAGCGGCTTGCTGTGTATTAAATAGGACTGTCTCCTCATAGTAGAGCTTGATTTGGGGTAGGCATGGGAACTCCCTTGCTGGTTTGCAGCATGGCTGTGACGTGCCTGGATTTCAGGAGAAAGATATCAGGCTATTGTTCCTGGTGATAAACATGGCAGTCTTTTCACACTTGAAATGATTCTCAGACCTCTCACTTTACTTTTCTCCCTCATGTGAAGTGCTAGCACCAGAGTCTGATGTCAGAATCGTAAGGCTCCAGCAGGAGTCAAATTCAGCATTATCAATCTAGACCACTGCCCTCTGACCCCTTCTTTAAAAATATCTATTCCTCTGGTCATTAAATGCAGCTTTAAGATGAACTTTTCAATATGACAGCCACCTACCATAGGCAACTTAATCCCACCTAGATTTTCCCCACTTCACAGCAGCCTCTTGAGTGAAGGAGAGAGAAAGATAATGGTGTGAGAACACAGTGCATAGGGAAAAACCCAATGATGATATTTGGTGGGCGGGGGGGGGGGCGTATGGGGAAGCATCAGAACTATCTGTAGTGGGAGTGTCCTCTGGGGGAAGGAAACTTGTGAGGAAGCCTTCTGGAAAGGAGAGGAAATAGTCACTGGGAAGACATGAAGAAAATCCACCATTTGTGACCTTGGCTAATCATTAGCAAGCCAGATAAAAAGAAAGCAGAAAATGTCATCCGAAGATGTGGGAGTTGGACCATTAAAGGGAAAAACAAGGCTGCCAGGGAGCGTGAGTTTGGTGAGGAAGAGTGTGCCTACAACTCTTCAGCGATCTTTACAGATGATGAACTCTCACCACTCACACATGTTGGTCATGAGAACCAGGGGGCCCCTGTTGGTTTCTCCAACCGGTATTTAAGCTGTTGCACAGGGAGAAACAACTCTCATTGCTTTCCAACTCGGTTTTAACGCAGATGTTTACTCTTTCCTTTTGGTCTTGATTGTTCCAGGCTGTGGTAAGTGCGCTCTCTCCTCTCTCCCTTTGCATGCTCTAATAATCCTCACACCTCCTTCCACGTGGTTTGATTGAAACTTAATAGTTTTTTGTGTGAAAATCTTTACATTTGTTTTACAAGGTGTGATAATCCCACTTCCATTCCTTTTGGAGTCACCCTGCCATTTCTTGAACTAAACTGTGTTTATTCCAGTGATCTGAATTACAAAAATGTATCTCCTTTCATATGTCTTGCTTCTCCACAAAGGTAGAAGATGTATTCTGAAAGCCTTACACACACACACACACACACACACACACACACACCAATATTGCCAATCCTATCCTTTTAATAGGTGTAGAGCAGATGTGATTTTGAAGATCGCTTGTCTATTTCAGGCCACCATGACTTGTAGCATATTAGGAAGAAGCGGGAAGTCAGAATTTCAGACATTGGGGTGATGGGTTCCTCTCAGAATCCAGCAAAGACTTTGCCCCTTTCCAAGGAGTGTCTGGGAGAAATGGGGTTCTCTGTGGTGGTGGCCTCTGAGCATTCTCAGTGATAATGATACCAATTCCTGAGACAAAACACGAACAAGAATAAATCTTTACCCCCTAGGTAACAGTTCCAGAGATTCAGCAAGTAGCAAGGTAGAAAATTTAGAAAATAAACCACAGTAAAAATGACCACTCAGACAAGACATTTTTGAACCACATAAAATTTCCTATCTTGAGTCATTTTTGCCTACAAAATGACAACTTCTTATGATTTGCATAATTATGGTCCGTGAGCTTCCTTCACTATGCACATTTTATCCCCGTCAGCTCGAGTTGTCTGATGAGTGCATACTTTTTTGTAATTCTTTCAATTCCTTCCTACCCCTGTCCTACATGAATATTTTATTTATAAATGTGGGTTCATAAAACCTTAACTCACGTACTAAAAGAATACTTGAGCAAATCCTGTACTAAAAAGACTGATGGGAATGACCAAAGAGAGATCTTTCCTGTGACCTAACTTCGTTCTTTTTTCAGATTGCCTAGTAAAGCATTCTGAGAGCAATCCTGACATTTTTTTTCTTTTTTAATGATGCTAAGACTCTCAATTGTCTTTGATAAAATTAATCCGATCAGTTCGTTGTAATAGTAATACTGTGTCCAAGGAGCCAGATACTAGAAAACAAGTTGAGAACTTTTCTTCTACATCAGTGACTTTTTAAAAATGTAAATCTTACCCAGAAAATCCTACACATAGCCTATGGCAATTTCATGTATACCCTGGGTAAGGTACCCTCCCTCAAGTTTCCTGAAGAATTTGTTTCCAGAGTAATTAAACAACATTGCTGATGAGCTATGTAGCAATGAAATCTTGAGCCTTGGTGGTTTGCATGAAAGTAGTAAGCAGGCAAGGGTCCAATGCCTAACTTCAAACATCAAATGGCCCTAGAATGCATTAGCTTTTGAAAGGCCTGGGGAACTCCAGTCTATGCGGCAGAGGATAGAGACTCCATGACTGTCAATCATATCTGCTTGAGTGTAGACACAGAAGCTGATTGAAAAGAACTTCAAAGGAGGAGGAAAGGCGCATTGTAGTTTAAATAACTATGATCTCTATTTTTGCCTGTGATGTATAGCCTCGCAGTTCCTCACCAATATGACCTTGCAGATCTTGACCATAAATTGCTGATATGACTGTATATAGCCAATATCATAATCGAGTTCATATTACCTGGAGCCATTTCTCCACATTTTTGAGGCTTCTCTTCTTGAAGCACTGGGCCTATGATGACATTTTTCTGACCTATCCTCTATGCATGGAAATGCATTATTGAAATGCCTTCTTTTGTGTGTGAGGATCCATGGGATATATTTGCACATGCGCTTATGTTTGTCATTGCAAGATTCTGAGTGGCTAGGAGAACATCTGAGGAGTCAGTGATTTCAATGATCAGTTCGTTGTACATTTTTATCCTAATTTATTGACTTGAGGTCTTATACTCTATGTATGTTAATTACACTGATTCAAAGTCCTGTTGAATTGGAGTCTTCTGTTTCCTAACCATGACATATTTAGGCATTTGTTAGATTGCAAAGTGGACTGGACATTCAATAAATCAATAAATCAAACTCGCCCTAGAAATGCAAAGGCTCTATTAACTATTGCCTTGAACTTCTATTAGTTCTCAACCCTAGAGCTTCAGCAAAGAGAAAACTGCCTCCCCTTCCAATCCTGTGTCCCATTTATAAACCACTTCCTCTAGACACAGAACAGTAGCCATCCTTCAGAGAGTGCCCTTTAGCTCAGTGGTTTCTGCCTTGATGTGTTTCTTGGGTGCAAGGTAAGCATACATTTCCACAGCTGCCATTGGGGTCCAGAGGACATTACATCAACCCTGGCAGACAATGGGTTAAATTCTGTATTCTGCCTTCCTCCGTCCTTCATACTCATCCTGTAAAAAAAAAAAGGCTCAATAGGTTTCATTTCCACAATCATAAAAATGCAAGTTCTAATCACTGCTTCTTACCAAAGTACTGACATGACTGCCAGTAGACTTTTTAAAAAAAAAAAGGAAAACCTCAGTTCTGATGCATGAAGAAACAAAAGGTATGTATCTCTGAGCACTTGAAACTGCATTAAGAGCCAGACAACTGTGGTTCACACCTGTTCGCCTAGCTGCTCAGGAGGCTGAGATCTGAGGATTGTGGTTCAAAGCTAGTCTGGGAAGGAAAGTCTATGAGACTCTTATCTCAAACCACCAAAAAGTAGAGCTATGGTTCACGTGGTAGACCACCAACTTTGAGCAAAAAAGGCTGAGGGCGAGCGGCAGGCCCTGAGTTCAAGCTTCAGTATTGGCAGAAGAAAAAATAAAACCTAGCTGCATTAAGCTGTTTACCTGCATATGACTCAGAACGCACATTGCTATAGATAGGGATATTTTCTTCGTTGTGACTAGCATCATCATAGCTAAGACTGGCCAAACCCCGTTGTGCTGTACCAGACACCGTCCCCAGGGCTCCCACAAGTGGCTGGCTCTGTATCCTTTCCACACTTTAGACCCACGAGTAGTTATAAAAGGAGGCCAGGGTCATAACCGAGCCCACACAGGATGTGAGGATACCCGTCCAACCCTGCTTCTTCCTTCTGCTCACTTTCAGCTAACTCTGAATTTGGAAATTAGTCAGAGGAAACACTCTGTCTCGTGTATCTTCATATTCCTTTTCATGCCACGGTGGAAAAATAAATCTTTTTCTGAAACTCAGAGGCCTATTTTTTCCCTCCCTGAAAATGAAGTTGAAAATGTTGCTTTTGCAGGGGTCTGGTGGGATTCTGTGGCTTTAGAAGTCAGAGCTCTCCGATGTGTCAATCTGTCCGTTTTAGTCACTTACTTCTGACCCTGAATCAGACAAAACTCCACCAAGACAGCAACATGAACACGTAGCAGGCAGGACGTCATGTGGGAAAGGGGTCAGACCTGCTCCCTCTGAAGTCCAACGGAGCTTTCGGCTCAGAGCTGCTTTTCAAGCTTTTACCGTCAGATGCCACCTTCTAGCAGTTCAAGATCTGTTAGTTTACATCTTGAACATTGCGCCAAGTAATTATCCCCAAACAGAACTCTAACCAGGCTCCAGGGGCTCACACCTATAATCTTAGCTATTTAGGAAGTTGAGGTCTCTAGGAATCACTGGTAGAAGCCAGCCAGGGAGAACAAATCTGAGACACTCCTACATCCAGTTAACCAGCAAAAAACAAAAACAATGGAAGGTGGCGCTGTGGCTCAAGTGGTAGAGCATTTGCCTTGAGCTGAAGAGCTGAGGGACAGTGCGCAAGCTCAGAGTTCAAGCCCCACAACAGACAAAAAAAAAACAAAAACCAGAACTGGAAGTCTAGCTCCCCAGCTAAGGGAGAGTACAAGACTTCACTTCAACCCCCAGTACAGGCACAAAATGAGCACAAAAAAAGAAAAACCACATAACAAATCCCTCTTTACTAAAAAGCAATGAGATCCTTTCCAGTTATATCTAGAGCAAACCTACTTGTTTTGATACATATGTCCTCTGAAAACAGTTTTGTTCATATACTCACTTCTTCAGCAAGTAAGTGACCTCCTCCTACAGACCAGACGGCATCCAAGCCAGACACTGAACATGCGCTGTCCAGCTAGACACGTTTCCTGAGAGCCCAAAGTCAATTAGGAAGATGGACAATGGGACACATGATTCCTGGCTTGACAGGATAGTTCTGGGATCTGTCTGGGTGCTGATGGCTCATGTAATCCTAGCTACTTGGGAGGCAGAGATCAAAGACATGCCAGCCCAGGCATAAAAGTCTAAAAGTCCATGAGACTCAACCAATAGCTGCGCAATGGGGTGCATCCTTGTTATTCAGGCTACAGAGGAAGCTCAGTGGCTGGAGACAATGGTGCACACCTGTCATCCTCAGTGACGCAAGGAAGCATAAATAGGAGGATTGCAGTCCAGGCTAGCGTGAGCATAAAATCCAGGCCCTACCTCAAATATAATCAACATGAAAGGGCTCATGGTAAAGCTCAAGTGGTAAGAGTGCTTGCCTGGTAAATACAAGGCCCTGAGGTCAGTCCCCAATACCATCACAACAAAACAAAGGAACAGGTGTGCTTGGGCTTGGGCTTTTGTGAAATACAATCGTCTTATGATACACAGCATCCTATAAACAGTGATGACATTGAATTGTGTGCATGTGTTTGCAATGACACTGCAGCAAACAGATGCCAGTTTAATCACTGTAATTAAATTGCTTCACATTCACTATGAAGAAAAAAATCATACAGCATTAGGACAGTGTGTCCATGATGTTTTTATAAGAAATATTTCTAGCCAAAAATGGTCATTTTTTAAATATAAAGTTTCTTTTTTGACCTCTGGTGCCTTCACCCAACCTTTGCAGGTAAACTGCAGTCAGAAGAAACCAGATAATGTACGTTTATCTGTTCTCAAGTTCATTAGCATTCTGAGGCCATATGTACTCCACAGGAAAAACACTCTGTCTCTTCAAAGAGAATGTATTATAAAGACCTTCTCAGCTATATTCAGATAATGGAATCTTCCCTTTTCCTGGCTTCAAATCAGACAGATTCATAGAGGCTAAATCCTTGCCTAGTTGCTATTTTCAATCCTGTAAAGTCTAGATTTCCTAGAGGGTGAAAGATATATTATCAAAGCACATTGGGTAATTAAGTTACATATAACTAAATTGTACCAGGTCCCTGAAGTCACTGCTATTAATGTAAAGTTATATTTTAATTGCAGTAATTGTGAATACACCCAGTTTAACTTCTCTCATGACAACATGAAGTGTCATGAGTTTTTATCCAAAATGGTATGAGATGAATGCAAACCCATTTTGATAACTTTACATGCCACATACTGTTAACCTGTGATAGCTTCAAAGATTTGTAAAATGCCATATTTTAAATGCTATTTAACACTTTGAATAATGCAAAAAAATATTCTAGATTGTGTATTCTACTCAATGCTGCCACCAGAGGGCACTCTTCTCCCAAAATCTTTGTAAGAAGATACTGTCATTGATTTCTACTCAGAAAAAAATACGAGTAGGACAATTCATGAGGTTCTTTGACCAGGTTTGGGGAAGTTTACATCAATGTATGTTTATAACATGATAGTTTGTTTTCTTCCTCTGATTCTTTTCTGCCTTGGAATTTTACAGTATGCCAATCAATGATTTGGCTGGCAACCCAACAACTGGATATATCTTTTGAGGAAATGACTTTTTCTGTGGCTTCTAGTTTGTAATCAGAGTTCTCAAATAAAATCAGTGGTCTATTGTGTATCTTCCATAGGGTTTTTTTGAAGAAGAAGAAGGTAAAGAGTACATCTATAAAGAGCCCAAGCTAACGGGGCTCTCGGAGATTTCCCAAAGGTTACTCAAGCTCTATGCAGATAAATTTGGGGCAGACAATGTGAAGATAATCCAGGATTCCAACAAGGTAAGGGAAACTCAATATTTGTAGAGGTACTATTGTGTGACTTAGTACTTTTGTTTGTTATCTTGTTACTATGCTCATAATTTTAAATATTTTGCCTGATGGTATAGTTATATACTAAAAGTATATTGAGTGTTTTGCTTGTTAGTTGGCTGATTTCTTTTTCTTTTTTTTTTTTTTGTTGTGGTGGCAGGGGGGGGTCTTGGTCGTGGGGCTTGAACTCTGGGCCTGGGCGCTGTCCCTCAGCTCTTCAGCTTAAGGCTAGTGCTCTACCACTTGAGCCACAGTACCACTTTTCTGGAAGTTTTCTAGTGGTTTATTGGAGATAAGAGTCTCACGGACTTTCCTGCCCAGGCTGGCTTTGAACTGCAACCCTCAGATCTCAGTCTCCTGAGTAGCTAGAATTACAGGTGTGAGCCACTGGCACCTGGTTAAATTCTTCTAATCCTCATTCCCCAACCCCAACACTCAACCAGTGTAATGGACACCTCTCTGTTATGCTAAACTTTTTTGCTCAAGGATAGTGCTTTACCGCTTTGAGCCACAGCACCACTTCAAGTTTTCTGGGTTTATTGGAGATAAGAGTCTCATGGACTTTCCTGCCCAGGCTGGCTTTAAACCATGATCCTCAGATCTCAGCCTCCTGAATAGCCGGGATTACAGGAGAGAGCCACCAACTCCCTGCTTCTTTTTCAGAATAACTGAGAAGTCCTCTTAGAAACAGTTTACCAAATCCTCTACTTCTTCCATAGATAATTTACATTTGAACAGCAATTAAAATGTTAATGTAATTGGTCCCAAAGGTAGAAAAAAATAGCAAGCTGAAAGTACTTATTTAATCAAGGAGTTGTAGGTGGAGCTGTGGCTCAAATGGAGAGTTCCAGCCTTAAGCAATAAAAGCTAAGGGACAGTGTCCAAGCCCTGGGTTCAAGCACCAATACAAATAAAAAAAAAAGTTTATCTCTGGGCCACAGAGATTTTTTTTACCAGTCCTGGGGCTTAAACTCAAGGCCTGGGCACTGTCCCTGATTTTATTTTGTTCAAGGCTAACCCTCTAACACTTGAGCCACAACATTAATTCTGGCTTTTTCTATTTATGTGGTACTGAGACATCGAACCCAGGGCTTTATGCATGCCAGGCAAGCGCTCTACCACTAAGCCACATTCCCAGCCCTCACACACCAATTTCGAGAGCTATTTCTATGATAGACTAAACGATTCTTGTCATTACCTTGTATTAACTTGTTAAAACCCAACTTCTCACTGGCTCCACAAAGGAAATGGTCACACCTCATGACATTACTTCGAAATTTCTCATACATTCTCCTTCACTTAATCAGCCTTTTGTGAGCACCACTGCCTGCCAAACCCAAAAATAAGGATCAGTAGCACAGATTCTATTCTTCCCAGACCTTCTGGTCACATGGGACTAATAAGAGACGCCCATGTGTGATTGGTCCATTCAGCAGAACGCAATGGTCTGCCATTGCTGAGTGGCCCAGGAATAACCAAACACGTGACTCTCAACACAAACGCATTGGGGTCTGTAATGCTCCCAGAGCAGGTGACTTTTGAGCTGGGATTGGAGGGTGAGGGGACGTTCTGTGATGCCCAGAAGAAGGCAAGGGGCAATGGTATGCAGAGAAGGGCAAGATAGATTCTGCCATTGAAAGATCCCATCTTTGAAAATGGATTCTGTCTTTGAAAGACAGGTTTGAACATAGGTCCCATGGGTTCCCTTACTTGCAATAACTAGTATATGTCTGAGACAAGCAGAAAAGGTCAGATAAGTCGGTGTTAGGTGAAATGAACCCCAAGATAAGTATTCAAATGTTTTTTTTCTTTCTTGCGATTGTTTCTAACATATTTATAAGATGATTTCTTTGTTGCTTTGTATGTCCTTCCCCCACAGTATAACCCATGCTTTCACTGTATTTGATGTTGGTATAATTTGTGGAGGGGAAGGGAAAAAACAAATCGTTTAAATAGGGATACAGGTGGACCCATTGCAACAATGAGCTGTACAAATTGTTATGTCAAAAATGAACTTTACAACTTTGGCGAGGGGGATCAGGGGGTATGGGAAGGGGGGGTGGGGAGGGAGATGGGAAGGGGAAACAAAGGAGGAGGCAACAATGCTTGATAAATAATGTACTCATTATCTTGCCCGTGTAACTCCTCTGTACGGTATTTTCACAATTAAAAAAAGAAAGAAAGGTTTGATGGGGAGAAGAAAGAAAAACAAAAAACCGTGGTGCTGAAAAAGGTGGTATCCGGTGACATATTTTTGCCCCTCTTCTTTTACAAAACTGGTATTTGAAGGAGTCTGAGCAAAAGATGGAAGATGACTGGGTCTGTGCCGACACTGTGTAAATCTGATCCTCATTGCCCTCTATCTGAAGAGTTCAGTCTCATTCTCTGCACAGGCAGACATGTTCCTTAAGAGGAGGAAAAGGCCATGTCTGACAGCAGAATAATGTGGATTTATATTCTTCCACCATTTACCACCACTTACCAGCTGGTGGCCTTGGAAAAATTAGGCCACTCTGAACCCTACTCTTAAAGTGAATGGGGCTCCTCAAATCTCTAGAAGTGAATAAGACGGTGATTGGGCAGAAAGAAACTTGGAGAGAAAAGAAAAAAAAAAAACAACTATCAGTGTAGTAGATAACTACACAATCAGGCAAAATATTTAAATAATAAGCACAGTAGCAAGGGATTATTAGAAAAGAGGCTGTCTTCCTTCCGTTTGTCCAGCCTCATCACCAATGCAGTGATTGGCCGTGGTGGCTTAAGTCTATAATCCTGGCTAATTAGGAAGTAGAAATCAGAGGATCATTGTTAGAGTCTAGCCTGGGCATAAAAGTTCACAGAACTCCATCTCAACCATTGGTTGGGCATGGTGTCGCATGTGTATTGTCCCAGTTAGAGGGAAGTACAATGTCCCAGGACACTGGTTTGTTCCTGTCATCTCTAGAGACATGGGGGAGAGCAAGAAAGGATCACAGCCTAGGTCAGCTCAAGCCTAAAGCGGGACCCTATCTTGAACGTGAATGATGCGATGTAAAGAGGGTTGGAAATGTGGCTCACATGGTCCTAGATCCCAAATACAATCCCCAGTAGTGCTCACTGGGATGCGATGATTTGTGGCTGGTAAGAGGTTTGGGTTTGGAAAACACAAAGCTTGGCAGTTATGAAACAGAGTAACTCAGCTGATCGGGCAAATAGGCAGGTGAATTCCTTCCCATTACAAAGCCAAAGCCAAGAGCGCCAGTCGGAGTTCATGGCCACACCCCAGGGGGATAGGTAGAAACTGGTTCCCAGTTTCCACACAGAGGCCAATGCTGGATCATCTTTACAGGAGCACAGTAAATGGAAGATGAAATCATCAGCACCAGCCAGGCACTTAAACACTGCAAAGAACTTCAGTGCGTTGCAGCCCAGCGGCTGGGTTGCTTGGCCGCTGTCAGTCAGGTTTTCCATGGCTGCTCCCCGTTCCCACAGGAGCTGTCACCTGCTTTCCAGCCAGGGAAACCAGAGCTCCCCGCCTGCCCTTCCAACTCGCTGTGGCTCACTACTACCTGCACCCCATGTGTGTTCACACAGGTAAACCCCAAGGAGTTAGACCCCAAGTACGCCTACATCCAGGTCACCTACGTCACGCCATTCTTCGAAGAGAAGGAGATCGAGGACCGCAGGACAGATTTTGAAATGCACCACAACATCAACCGCTTTGTGTTCGAGACTCCCTTCACGCTGTCCGGCAAGAAGCACGGGGGAGTGGCGGAGCAGTGCAAACGCAGGACCATCCTCACAAGTAGGTGCACGTCCCGGGCAGCCACCCAAAGGTGCCAGTGCCAGGACAGGACTATCATTAGAAGTTCAGAGTCGTTTCAGGCCTGTAGAGAAGTGCTCAATATGATTTAGGGGTGTGTGTGTGTGTGTGTGTGTGTGTGTGTGTGTGTGTGTGTGTGCACGCACACATGTGTGCACTGTCACTAGGACTTGAACTCAGGGTCTGGATGTGGTCACTTAGCTTCTTTGCTCAAGGCTAGTGCTCTACCACTGGAGCCACAGCCCACACCTACACTTTGGGCTTTTTGCTGGTTAATTGGAGAGTGGAGTCTCACAGACTTTCTGGTCCCAGCTGGCTTCAAGCCACAGCCTCCAATCTCAGCCTCCTGAGTAGGTAGGATTACAGGTGTGAGCCACCAGCACCAAGCTTAAGAGTCCCTGGAGAAGGAAGCTGGAGGCGAGGTTGTCAATGGAGTTATGTCACAGCCCTTTGCCTGCCCTTTAGACTGGATATTCACCAGAGTCATGATGTCAGTGTCTAGGGAAAAGCACAGAAATGGAACATTTCCCTGTGCCCGTGGAGACTGTCCTGAACTACATCACAGCTTGTGCTTTGGGGCAAGATTTTACCCACTGAAATGTACATGCTTCATCGCTAAAATCAATGCAGACAGCAGCATGCAGGTCACACCCAGTACGGCTGAGATCTATTCTATGACTTTGTCATCTTGTCATTCAACAGACCATCCATGAGTGTCTAGGGGGTGTAGTGTCCAGGTCCTGGCAATTCCCTCAAACTTAAAAATAAATCAATCACAACATGATTCTCAGGCAGCTAATATCTGCAATCTAGGCGACTCAGGAAGCTGACATCTGACCATCGCAGAAGCCAGTCTGTGCAGACAAGTTCATGAGATGCTTTCCTCCAGTTAACCAGCAAAAGGCCAAAATTGCAGTGTGGTGTAAGCGATAGAGCACCAGTCTTGTACAAAAACGCTCAGTAAGAACATAAAGCTCTGAGTTCACGCCTCAGTACGGGCATATGCATAAACAACAACAAAAAAGAAAATAAAAAAGGTTTGGGGCCTCAAGATATTCAGTCTGGCTGGAGAAAAGAGGAGTGAAGCAAGAGTGCCTGACCGGCACAGCGTGACAGAGGAAGCAGGGGTACGCCAGAGGGTCACACGCTGTGTGGAGACGAGAGCATTAAGGAAGGACAGACAGAGAGTGCCTCCAATGCCCTGTCCCCCATCCTTCAGACACCCACCCACTCCTCACTCAGTAGAGGTCACCTTAAGGAAATGGATCCAGGGCTGGGAAGGTGGCTCAGTGGTAGAGCACTTGCCTTGCATGCCTGAGGCCCTGGGTTCGATTCCTCAGCACCACATAAGAAAAAAGAAAAAAGCCAGGAGTGGCACTGTGGCTCAAGTGGTAGAGCGCTAGCCTTGAGCTGAAGAGCTGAGGGACAGCGCCCACGCCCAGAGTTCAGGCCCCACGACTGGACCCAAAAAAAAAAAAAAAAAGAGGAAATGGATCCAGAGATTATGTGATTTAACAATGGAGAAAAAAAAGAATCAAGTCTTGGTGGTTTGTGCCTATAATCTTAGCTTCTAAGGCAGCAGAGATCTGAGGATCACAGTTCAAAGCCAGCTGAGGCAGGAAAGTTCATGATACGCTTAGCTCCAATTAGGTAGCAGAAAAGCTGGAAATGGAGCTGGGAGTGCAAGCCCCAGCACTGGCCAAAAAAATCAAGGGACTGGGGGCATGGATAAAGTGATAGAGTGCCTGTTTAGCAGCCATCAGGCCCTGAGTTCAGCCTCTCCCGAACCCCCAAAAAAACAAGTGACCATATACTATTCAGTGTATTCTTTCTGCAATGTTTCTTGTGGGCTAGTGGAGAATTTGAGTTCCAAATTACAATGAAATCTGTCATCTTTAAACTTTCCACTGTATAGTTACTCTTGATATCCTGATCTCAAGTAGGAGAGTACCAACCCTGAAGGAAAGAAAACCAAAAACAAGGTGAGATTCCCAAGGCCCGGAGTTGCAGCTCAACTCCTGACAACCATTAATAAGAGCCTTCATCTGGCCCTGGGGGAAAGCTGTGTTAGGAAGGGAAGGGAAGGAGAGAAGCCAGGTGAGCGTAGCTGGGGCCAAAGCTAGGAAATAGGAGAGCAGACGGCCCCTGGAGGAAAAGAAACTCAGACTCCTCATGAAAAACACACAGATGGCATGTGTGCGCCATGAAAGAAGACAACGCCCCCTAGAGAGTTCCAGGGTGCGCCTGGGCTCCTGGCTAACCCTTCCAACCCCTTCTTGTGGCTCCTGTGCAGCAAGCCACCTGTTCCCCTATGTGAAGAAGAGGATCCAGGTCATCAGCCAGTCGAGCACCGAACTGAATCCGATTGAGGTGGCCATTGATGAGATGTCCAGGAAGGTTTCTGAGCTGAACCAGCTCTGCACCATGGACGAGGTGGACATGATCCGACTGCAGCTTAAACTGCAGGGAAGTGTCAGCGTGAAGGTTAGTGAGCACCTCCTAGACAGGACGTTTATCTTCATGAGAGGCATACCGGGCCTGGCCACGGTGGGGCAGTGTCGGCATGCAGGCCAGTGAGTGTCCATCCCCACCGCTGGGCTGTGCACAGCACCCTGGGAATTTTTGACTTTCAGACATTTGGGCTATTGATGAGCCCATCTCAAAGCGTTATCCGAGTCTTTTAAAATCCTGTGCAGTTGAAATGTACACGGGTTAGTGCCTGGCACCTACAGAAATACCTCATTTAGCTACAAGAGAATTTCCTCTCCTCTCCACCTCTTCCTTCCATTCTAGCTTCTCCGGATAAACAATGTCCTGTATCTGCCTCCCACTGAACTGACTGAACCAGTGAATAACCATGGTATTTCCATTCTGGTCCATCATGAGGAGCCTTATAAACATCATTCTAAAGCAAATCTAAAAGAAGGCTTACTAGTTCATAAAATGTGCATCCGTGTTTCTTGGGGTTGTGAGAGGCAGCAGGTGGAGGAGATATCAATCAGAAGAGAATCAACTCAATAAACTGTTTGCAAAAGTGGGAGGAGCCTTGAAGAAAACCAGCCAGGCAGGTGCAGGGGCCCCACTCAGGGTGAATGGCCAGCCCAGATCTGAACACACCAGCACCAGAGGGTCTGTGGGATCCCAGAGGGTAGCCAGGGTCCCATTAAGCATGGGCAGGTGAGGCCCCTGATAAGGAGGAAGCTTCACTTCATGCCCCACTAGGGACTGTAGGGGTGCTGACTTGGCACTGGCCTTGGCACTTGGCACCCAGTTTGGCCTGGCCCAAGGAGAAGACAGAGAAGCACAAAACTGAATCAGAGATGAAGATAGCATTTTATCTAATTGCATCATTTTTTTTGCCAGTCCTGGGGCTTGAACTCAGGGCCCAGATACTGTTCCTGAGCTTCTTTTTGCTCAAGGCTAATGCTCTACTACTTGAGCCACAGCACCACTTCCGGCTTTTTCTGATTATGTGGTGCTGAGGAATCGAACCCAGGGCTTTGTGCATGCTAGGCAAGCACTCTATCGCTAAGCTACATTCACAGCCCTGCAGTATTTTAAAATGTCAAAATTAATGCCCGTCCCAAGTGAGGCGGCTCTCACCTGTCATCCTAGCTGTGTAAGAGACTGAGATGTGAAGACTGAGGTTCAAAGCTAGCCCAGGCAGAACAATCCATGAGACTCTTATCTCCAGGTAACTACCAAAGAGACAGAAGTAGAGGTATGGCCCAAGTTGGCAGAGAGCTAACCAGGAGCCATAGCACCCATTCCCTGAGATCAAGCCCCAATACTGGCAAAAATTAAAAAAGAAAAACAAACCAACGCCCCAAATCCATCATGCACAAAGTATTGCATGTTTTAAACAAAGACAGGTCAGTGACTGCGCCCTGCAAACTGCAACAGAGCCTGAGGCAGAAGGAAAACTCAGTGAGCCCAGCTCAGAACTGAGAAGTCTTCATGCTTCTGGTCTCTGCTCCACCACTGGCTACTTCAAAATAAAAGTCCACCAGACAAGGGAAGCCTTGCTCTTCTCCACACAAGTCAGCTTCCCTAGCACATGGCTGAGTAGAGAATGGCGCTGGAAAAGGAAAAGAAAACACCCTGCAGCCATGACTACATCTTCCCCACCGGTGGGCCCAAGGCCCCGGAGTCTACTCAGACACAATATTACCTCCCTTCTCTCACCCTATTCCTTTCCAGCCCCCACAGCCACTGGTGTGAGCTTGCTCCTGCACATAAGTGGGAACAGAATCTGGTATTGTGGAGGTGGGAATGTAGCTCAGTGGTACTGCACTTAGCTACCACACTTGAGGTCCTGGGTTCGACTCCTAGCACTGAAGAAAACTACAGATGGTGTTGTGCGTTCCTTTGGCAAATCTGAGAGATGCCTCGTTGAGCCAAAATCGAGGCTAGGCTGTCAAGTGGCACACAGTGGCCTGGATTCCCCGGCTCGGGCCCCTCAACCCTGTAGAATGACTTTCCAAAATAGTTATGTGTTTAATGTTACTGGAAAAGAAAGCCGACTAGTACAGTAAGCATCTGATTAAAACCCAGTGAGTGTACTTAAGCTGAGGATTGAGGTTCGAAGCTAGCCCAGGCAGAAAAATCCATGAGACTCTTACTTTGCAAAGCTACCAAGTAAAGAGGAGGAGTAGTATGCAGACATGACCACATGGGAAAGATCTAGAAAGAGAGAGGTGACAGGGAAGTCCAGAGCTCTGTCACTCCCGTTAGTGCCTTGGTGACTAGCCAGAGAAACCCAGACACAACGCACACAGGTCATGCATCACACGTGGCGAGAGCATCCGTTTGACATGAAAGCAGCAGGAGGTAGACGTACAGCCTCAGCCCATTCTCTTGTCCTCACTAGGTCAATGCTGGGCCAATGGCCTACGCACGTGCTTTCCTTGAAGAAACAAATGCCAAAAAATACCCTGACAACCAAGTCAAGCTCTTGAAGGAAATCTTCAGGTAAGATTCTCTTGGTTTGTTAGAATGCTTTCCTCAGTCTCCTTCACACAGGCAGCAAGAATTACCCAGAAAGCCTTGCGACTGACCCTCTTCAAGGTGGCGGGAGTCTGTCCACAGCCCACCTTGGACCTCACAGTGACTGAACGCAACGCCTCTGCCCGAGATCAGTTTTAAATCTGTTTCCTACTGTTGCTAAAGGCAATTTGCAGATGCCTGTGGGCAGGCTCTGGACGTGAATGAGCGCCTCATCAAGGAGGACCAGCTGGAGTACCAGGAAGAATTGCGCTCTCATTACAAGGACATGCTCAGTGAGCTGTCTGCCGTCATGAATGAGCAGGTGAGCCTCCCTGACCGTGCGTGCCCCTCAGGAGCTGGAAAGCACCCAGTGCTGGAAGGCTGAGGGAGTCTCGGCTTGCTGCAGAAATCACTGTCCTTTCATCCTCCACCTAGGCATCCTTGGCTCAGAGTGGAGATCAGAGTAGAGAAACATCTATAGAAGAGAATCCAGATACTCTCTGTAGTTTTAGAGCTGCCGCTGCAGAACTTGAACTAGTTCAGGAGCGCCTCAGAACACCCCTGCACAACTCCACAGGATGGGATAGGTATTTCACCTATCTGCCACTAAGGGTCTCAGTACGATGCTCAAAAAGAGCCTCAGATGTAATCCTTGCAAGATTTTTGCCTAGCATGCATGGGTTTAAAACGCAATCCCTAGCCCACATGCAAGGTACTACCCATGATCTTGGGCCTGAATCCACCATGTTCTATACGGTTTGCACAAAGCACGACCATTCACACTCTTGGGAGAATAGGGCTAAAAATCACATCAGTGAAAGCCAAGTCATACTTCCTTAACCAAAAATCCAATGCACTCACACTCTACCTGGACCTTCCACCAGCCAGGGTCCCTTCCAGGAGTTAGATGTGTCCTTTACAGAATTGTTGAGGGGCAGAACCTGAACTATTCTAGTAGTATTTCTACGTACCACTCACTCATGCGAGGGCATCCGCCTTTCCTTTCCTTCAATGGTCCAACATAGATAACAGTACTCACAGAACATGACAAGTATTGAACCTGTTGCTCTAATTGCATGCCCAACAGGTTTGGCTTTCCTTCTTCTTTTCCTTCTTCTTCCATATTCTTTAACTCTCCATAGTAGCTAGAGAAAGAAATAGAGAGGATGAAATCCTACCAAAAAGCATTTCTCATAGGAATAGTGATGGTTAGGGATCTTTGAGGCATAATGGGAAATAAAACACTCTGGAAATGCGGGGAGGTAAGGATGAAATCGTGAATCACAAGGGGAACAATGGCTGTAAGAGCAGGGAGTGAACCATGGTGAAGGTGTGCTTGTTTCCAGCTGTAATGGTTTCTACCCTTGAACCTTCTGGCACACATGCTTTTCTCTTTTTTTCCTGGCAGCTCTGTCGAGGTCCGTGTTTATACAGCTTCTGTTCCTCTGTGTCTAGCATGTCCCTCAGTACTGTGAGCAAGAGTGGTATGTTTTCCTCTTCTTACATCTACCCTGTCCTCCGTGGCCTTCTGTCCACCCCCTTCTCCCCAGCTCTTTATTCCCCCCATCACCTTTATAGTAAGCTGCTGCTGCTCTGTTAGCTTGGATTCAATTATGAAACAACTTTATTTCCACTTTAAGATAGGCAATGGAAAAAGAAAAGCCGAATGATGAAAGCTAAAATTAACAGCACATATTCCATCAGCTTCTAAAATGTTTTAGAACTCAATTTCTTTCTAAAGCAAAGTGCTAAATCATTTATGCTATATTCTAAAGTCCTAAAACAACAATAGAAATATGAAGGCACAAAGAGGAGAGAAAAATAACTCTTCCAGAAAACTTCTTCTAAAAGAAGTCAAAAGCTCTCTGTTTCCTGGAAACTGACCCATAGAGAAGAACTGGTGCATTGTGTAGGCTTATTATCCAGTAAAATAAATAGATCTGGCCAGGGGCTGATGGCTCACATCTGTAATCCTAGCTACTCAGGAGGCTAATATCTGAGGATCATGGTTTGAGGCCAGCCCAAGCAAGTCCATGAAACTCTTATCTCTGATTAACCACCAAAAAGACAGAAGCAGAGCTGTGGCTCAACTGGAAAGCTCTACCTTGAGCAAAAAGTTCAGAGACAGTGCCTAGACCCCAAGTTCAAGCCCCTGACTTGTAAAAATTAAAAAGAAAAAGAATGAATCTGTTGGCAGGAAAGATCAAATTTCTCCTGGTCCTGAGCTTGACTAAGGATTTGTTATATAACTGATAATCTAAGAAAACGCCTTTCCCTTCCTAAATATTAACATATAGACTCGGGACGCAGCTACATATAGAAAATAAATAGAGTAAGAACTTCGCCAGTGAACTTCACAAAGCAGAAACCATTTAAATTGATAGACAGAAAGGTAGAAAACTAAAAATAGAAACCCAGACGTCATTATTCAATTCACTCCAAGAGTTTCCAGAAAAGTCTTAGCTAGAAGTGTCTACAGCCACCTTTTGTAGAAAAATTCTTCAGAAAGATGGATGAGAATGGGCTGGGAGAAAATAAACACTAGAAAGTGAAGATGTGCCCACCAAGTCATTTGGACTGGCGAAAGGCAATAGAGACAACCATAATTGCTCAACAGACAAAGCTTCCTTTGGCTAAGGCCAAAATAATGCACGCAAGTATGCAGGAAAACATAAACGCAGATGCTCACTTGGACTGTGTCAGCAGTCAGTGCGCTGATTGGAAGCCTCAGGAAATTAGCTGTGGCACTGAGATCTAATTTAAAATCTAAAGAAAGAACCAGAATTGTTCCCATAGGGTGCCAAGAATGTGAGGTATATGATTGTCAGCCTTGGGTGTTTCTGAGAGTATTATCATCAGGCAAATGTTTGTAAAGAGCCTGTGGCATTGATCTAAAATATATCTCTAGCCTCTGGTGCTCATGCTGAGTATGGTGTCTCAGGAAGCTAATGGCTCTGACACAGTATTGTAATATGGGAAGGCGTGGGGAAATCTTCATACCCACAACCTTAACTAGTCACTAAGTGTCTCTGCTGTTGCTCCCGTGTTCAGATATCATTATCTTAACAGATCTTAAGAGAAGGTATTTTGTTTGACATAAATACCTTTCTGCAGTCAAGATTAGGTCAAGATTAGTTTTTTTTTCTGTATATTTCCATTAATGCAAACATGAAAATGAGGTTTCCAGTTTCCTCTTTCTTTTTCAATAGATTCTGACAATAAATGAATGTACATAAATTTGTAGAATGAATCCTAGAATTACCTAAACACAGTTATAAGTAGCACTGAAACTTTTATAAATGTATATCTGATAGTCAAAGAGAAAATGAAGCTAATCTAACAATTGCCGTAATAACCAGCACCTGGCTTGGGGAAAGTTTTCAGATCTACTTTGACAAACGTGTTTTAAATTTGACAGGCATCCCTGGGGATGAAAAAGAAAAAAACCACTCTTCCAGCTGGGTGCCCGTGGCTCATGCCTGTAATCCTGGCTACTCAGGAGACTGAGCCTAAGGATTGCAGTTCAAAGCCAGCCCAGGCAAAAAAGTCTGTGAGACTCTCATCTCCACTTAACCAGAAAAACTCCAAAAGTAGAGATACAGCCTTGAGCGAAAAAGCCTCGCTTGAGCATAAGACCCTGAGTTTGAGCCTCAGTAGTGGCGCGCACGCACGTGCGTGAACACACACACACTCACAATTACTGTTCTGGGTTTTAATAGCTCTCTAGTCTCTCATTAGCCTCTTTGTCCTAATGTGATTTGTGTTGTCTTAAGATTACGGGCAGGGACGACCTAGCAAAGCGCGGAGCGGAGCACCCCAGCACTCGTATAATTAGCAAGGCCACGCCAGCCGCACCCACCATCTCCCACTCCGCCAGTGCCGAAGTGTGAGCTTAGCTCCACAGAACGAGACGCAGCTCTCCAGGAATTCTCTCAACTGGCCACTCATCTCGGGGACAACAGAGAGACATTTAATTTATTTGAAGGTTTTTGTGTGTGTGTGTGTGTTTTTTCCGGCGTTAACATTTTTGTTTACCTCGCTAGCTTGAGAATTTTGCAAGCCTATGAATTTGCACATTTTCCCTATGACTTCGGTTTGGTTTTGTTTTCTTGGAGCAGTGTTGATCAAGTCAAGCTGAATATTTGCCATGAAATGCCAATGAATGTTCAGCTCAAGAGCAAACCCCACGTTTTTTGCAGTCGGATATAATGAGTTCAAGACCCAGTCCCCATCCACATATTTTAAAGGTCAAAGTGAATGTTTTTGTAACATTTAAGGATATTTCAGATGTAAATAGCAGATTGTACAATATATGGTTTTTACCAAATTTAAAAGAATGTTTTTAGTTCTTTCAACAGTACTAAAATTATATGAATAACATTTCAGATACCATTATATTAAAATATTTGTGTATGTGTAAAAAAAGTGTTCATATATACTAATCTTCAAAGTTTGTGAAGTTCCTTTATTTGTAATATATGTGCTTTTAAATGCAATGGGATGTGAAATTATAGAGGTATTTTGTTGTTGTTAATAAAAATAAAAAATATGGTTACTTTGCATTTGGTTTCTTCCTGTTTATTTATGGTTTTAGAAATAGCCCAGTCTAGTCTTGAATTCATGATCCTCCTCCTCCTCACCCTGTAATTCCCCCCCCACACACACACACAAGTGCTAGAATTACAGGCATTTGCTACCATGCCCAGCTTGATTTTCTCTTGAAGAGTGGGTGGGTTAATAATATAGTGGCTGGTTAAAGGGCTATTGAAGGTATTTCCATACTCAACATTCAAGAAACCTTACAAGATGCCAGAAAAGAACCTCAACCTCCCAAAGATGAATTTAACCCAAAGCTAGGATAGTATTAGAATGACTTATAGGATAGTATTAGAATAACTTGGGGGAAACACGTTGAACAAGGATCATAAGGACTGTGATGGTTACTAGGACTGCTGACAAATCTTCCATTTTCTTCGCTCTATAAACTCCTGCTAGGATTGCCCTTTTCTGCCTCTTTGAAGTTAGCACGAACATGTGACCCAGTATGCCCACTGAATTATGAAGTAGAAGTCAGTGGCCGTGACACTTTCAGGTTAAAGCTGTAAAAGCAGCTCAGAGATTCTGCACCATCTTCCTCCCAAAGCACAGGAGATGGAGCCTAATTGAACCTAAGTCCACCAGCGACCACCATATGTGACCCGAACTTACCCAGCTTCCTGGTAATCTTACAGATCATAGATTCTCAGTGACAAATTCCATTCTGTGGTGCTGTGGTCCCAAGACTCACAACTGCTGGCCACTGCAGCATCATTTGCTTAAAATGAAACCCAGCTTTGTACGTGTGCTTTCTGGCTGGCCACAGTGCATACCACACCCTAACCAACTTCTACCTGCTAGGCTTCTCCCCTAAATCAGTCCATCCTGGAGCTCATAGGCTTAGGTGAACCTGAAGTTAGACAAACCTTTCATGTCTGTCTAATGGTGGATAGCAGGTCAGCTGAAGAATCAGCAGGAAATGCATGCCTCAATGCATATTTTTCCATCCAAATCAAAAATCTTGGGAGTAGAGTCTATCTAGTGGGCAGGCTTTCCTGATTCTTAGACCCACTGAGGCAGGAGATGCCGTTGGGCTAATTAATTACACTGCACAACAGTATAATCAGGTTACTACCTGATTTTGAATTACCATGACATTATATTGTATGCTCTTTTTCATCCATGTAAAGATGAAAAAGGGTAATAATATTTAATATGAAGATTTATATTAAAATTTTTTCCTTGAAATAATATCCCTTAAATAAGCTCAGCTTAAAAAAATAGTACTTAATCTCCCAGAAAGATGGGAAATAAGCCCTAAAGAGCCAACACAGCAATAGTAGTTGTAGGATGTGTGACATCAGCATGGGATATGAACATGGGATGTCAGTGCGTGATGTCATCAGCCCTGGTTCTGTCGCCTCATTGAGTAATGACTCTACTCCACAGCTACCACTTTCCATTCTTGTTTCAAAGTGGACAGACTGTAAAGAAATAAACACTCTTCTTCTCTTGTGTTACCAACCAGCTCCTATCTGAATGTCCATGGTCGGAAGCTCTCTGGGCACCTCCCTACTTTGTGTTTACACTCATTTGGAAGCCGGTATGAATGAGATCCCACTGGGATGCTATTTGGCTTCAGAGCCCTGCATGTTGCTGCAGGAAGATTTTACCCTGTCTGTGTGTTGATGGGTCACTGTCTCGTGATGGTAGCCAACGTGCAGACACCCTCCCCAACTGGTAAATATGTGTGTCAGAAAATGAAAATTACTCGATTGCAAATGTGACCAAATGACAGGCAAATAATCTTTCAGGGTGACAAGTGGTCCCTACACTGCTTACAATTGCACCAGCGAAAATGTATATATGAGGTGGGATGTGTCACACGGCATGCAGCTAGCATCCGTGAAGGTTTGGGAAATGATTGAGCAGAAGCATCGTTGGCACGCAATTCCATCAGGAAGCTCGGTTCCTTCCTCATAAGCCTGGATGTTTGCCTCTGTGTACCCTGCACTGGAGAGGTGCCAAGCTCAGAGAGACAAATATTACAATTTTTACTCATGTGCAGAATCAAGACTTTAATAATAATAATAATGTCATGATGTAAAAGGGGTTGTTTGGAGGGAAACTAGTGTGATAATGGAAAGAAAAGAGGAAGTGCTGATAGGGGTAAAATGTATTTATGTATAAAAATGCCATAATGAAAACCATCAAAACTTAAAAAAGGAAAGAGGGAGGAAGAGAGAGAGAGAGAGAGAGCAGTTGAGACTAAATTTGATCAAATGTACAGACATATCACAGTAAAGTCTTATGTACAATTGATTTATGCTACTATTTTTAAATTACTTTCTCTTATGAAAGTCCCTTTTCCGGTCTTCCAATCACATAAGCCTAATTTATACACATCAGGACCCAGCTTGATTCGTGTGTAAGGGGTCCTGGGATGATGCAGCAGTGTGGCCTTAGAACCCCTGCTCGCTCTCTTAGGCTGCAGAACTCCTGGGGGAAGATGGCTCTCGGCTGGGATCCCACTCCCGGGGTTTCATCACCAGACCGGAAGAAGCTCATTCCATGATGGTTTGAGAGGAAGAAGCAAACCCAGCTCTACATAGCTCTTAACTGAATCCCTCTTGCCCAAGGCAAGAATTCAAATTACATTAAATTAACTAAATAGTTGTTGGAATTCAAGAGGGAACTATGTGGGGTTTTGTGGGGGTTTTTTTAGGGCGGTATACTTATGTGTCCCGTTAGTTATGAACTGAGGATCTAATCAGAAATCCTAGAAACTCGCTGTCTTCCTGTACCATTCAACAAGTGCCAGCCTCACCTCAGAGAACAGATTCTGGGCCCACTGAGAGCTCTGCACGTGATTAATCCTATAAAAGTAGTTAGAAGCCAGAGCAAAATGAATGTAGGATCCTGATGTAGTTTGAGGGGGGGGGGGATTGTTTTGTTTTGTTTTTTTTGGTCGGTCATGGGGCTTGAACTCTGGGCCTGGACACTTTCGCTCAACTCTTCAGCTCAAAGCAAGCACTCTACCACTTGAATCACAGCACCACTTCCAGTTTTCTGGTGGTTTAACAGAGTTAAGAGTCTCACAGACTTTCCTGTCTGGGCTGGCTTTGAACCATGATCCTCAGATCTCAGCCTCTTAAGTAGCTAGGATTACAGGCGTGGACCACCAGTGCACAGCAATGTTTTTTGGATGAGTGAAGGAGAGTGTAAGGCATGTCAAAGCTGACCTGTGAGAGCTACTCAGTCCTCTACACCTCCACCCCATGGGGGACTAAGCCAAAACTGGATGGTCAATGGCCTACTGGACAAACACGGTCCACTCCTGGCCAGGAAGCAGTTCATTTGCCTATGGTAGAGCATGAGAAGATAGAGCTGGTTCTCCTGTGAGCACACAGCAGATCTACTACAACTGGAGGGCACTGAAGCACATTTGAGTTCTGAGCATTGGGGATTAAACTATGAAGGTGTCTGCAAAGAATTCCACGTGAATTCTTTGAAGACTTTTGCCTTCCTGGAGAGGTATGTATGAATCAACAGGTGAGGGGAATCATAATTTGGTGGAAATTATAAACCACCTTGAGTGCTCAGGCTTGATCTAACATGGATCAGAAAGGTTGAAACATTCCTAGATCAAATTCACGATCTCATATAAAGAAAGAATGGTTTTAGGGTCAGAATAATTGGGCAGCATTTATTGTTGAAAATATTTTAAATAAAACTGGTGTAGAGAATTTGGGATCCACTTGTAATTATTTTGCATCATTGGCTATTAAGGATATACCTATAGCATTGCTCTTTCTTGGATCTATTTCTTATGTATGAAGGATGTTTATTACTGAAGCTGATAACTATTCTTAAATCTCCTCAAAAGAAGAACAAACAGTACCAACTCTACAGTGGGTGAGATTGTTGTTTGGTTTTGATTGTTACAAAGAAAGTGTTGGCAATACGTTTTGCAGACTGGCCAATCGATAGAGAAGGCTTATTTCAAATACTTGCACAGAGCTTCATGAGTTCTTTTCCATTTCTAAGTGGCCTAGCATGGTGTCCCACACGTGGAATCCTAGCTATTGAGAAGGCAGAAATGTGGAGGATAACATTTTCAGGAAAGACAGGGCAAAACGTTTGTGAGACCCCATTGCAAAAAAAAAAAGTTTTATTCTGTGCCTGGCATCCCAACTATGCCAAGAAAAATAAATAGGAGGATTGAAATATATGCCAACCCTGGGAAAATTAATAGCCTATCTAAATAATAACCAAAGGTCTGGAGGTATAAATGGTAAAATGCCTGCATTACAAATGCCAGGATCTGAATTCAAACTGCAGTCTTACTGAGAAAGAGAGTAAGAGAGAGAGAGAGAGAATGAGGGAATTGTAGTTGTGAATTTCCCCTGTAGATGAGCAATTATTTAAAGAAATAAGGATTAATAGGAAAGCTTTAGAAATAAGTGTAAATCGTAAGAATAGAAGAATCTTTACTTTTTGAAGTCAGAACTAAAACTGGAAACTCCACCTAAAGGAATCTAGATGATGATTCTCTGGAAACATTTCCAAGTAGTACCCGGGGCTTTTGATATATTCACTGGGGAAAAAGAAAACATCATCCACGTAGGCTCATCACACATTGCATAGGGGTGTCAGTTTTACAGCCTCCCTCCTTCTGAACAGTTGAGAAAAAAAAAAACATCAATTCCTTTAGGTTTATCAGATTCCCTATTCCATTTGGGAAATGCATAGCCCCTTGCAAAAACTGGAAAATTTGTAAAAAATGAATAAAATGTTTCCACTAGGACTTTAAGCTTAGGAGTTGTGGATGACGCTGTGAAACCACCATTATCTGTTCTTTGAAGGACTGGGATTCAGCTATCATGGCTTTATTAAGACTCAGCAGCTGAGCCTGAACTATAAGAGCTCTGAGTAAACCAGGACTTACCACCTTCTACAAAAGAACTCAGCTGTGCTGAATCTCATCATTGTTTTCCTTCTCTGTCTTATCTCAATCCTGCTTGGA